TGATCTAATTAGATGCAAGCATGGGACAATTTGCAACTATTTGCTTCATGTGCATAAATTATTACTAAAACTGCATGTAAATTATAGTTTGGAGTTAGTTTTTAAAAAAAAAGAGATTAATTTATTTAGCAAGGACACATTAAAGTGATCAAAAGTAAAGATTTTTTGAAATTGTTAAAAAAAAAGTTAGCTATTTAAAATAAATGTTATTCTTTTGAACTTTTAATTCATCGAGAAATCTTGAAAAAAAAAACTGATAAAAACAGGAAATGTTTCTTAAACACCAAATCAGCATAATGTGAGCCTGGAACACAAAAGCAGTGTTAAGTCGCTGGGGGATATTTGTAGCAATAGCCAACAATATATTGTATGGGTCAAAATTATGAATTTTTCTTTTATGCCAATTCATTAGGATATTAAATAAAAATCATGTTCCATGCAGATATTTTGTAAGTTTCCTGCCGTAAATATATTAAAACTTAATTTTTGATTAGTAATATGCATTGCTAAGAATTCATTTGGACAACTTTAAAGATGATTTTCTCAATATTTAGATTTTTTTGCACCCTCAGATTCCAGATTTTCAAATAGTTGTATCTCGACCAAATATCGTCCTATCCTAACAAACCATACATCAATGGAAAGCTTATTTATTCAGCTTTCAGATGATGTATAAATCTCAATTTTGAAAAATGTACACTTATGACTGGTTTTGTGGTCCAGGGTCACATATTAGAATGATTTCTGAAGGATCATGTGACACTGAAGACTGGAGTGATGATGCTAAAAAAACTCAGCTTTGAACACAGCAATAAATTACATTTGAATAACTATTAAAATAGATGTTTAATTGTAATCACAATCACAAATAAATACTGATGAATTCTAATATTAACAAATATAATATTCATTTTAAATAAGGGGAATCACTCAGTACCTCTGACACAAGTTGGATTGTGAGTTGTCTGGATTGTTTAGAAGCCACTGCCATTTCAGTGATACAGTCTTCATCTATATGACCCAACTAAAAAGAACAAACACACAAAGGAAATTATACAGCTAGGAAGTTAAAAACTCTCTAATATCTGTAAAGACTTTAAACGAACTAAAGCAGATATAATTTGTTATAGGTAAGAAATCAACAAGAATAGCAAAAGCTTTAAAGCCCAAAAAATCCCTTTAAAGTCCTTTCACTTGACTAACTGGATCTTGGAGGCATATAAGCATGTCTATAGAGCTGATCTTACAGGATGTTTACTGTGCCACTCCACTGGTGTGCTGTATCCCTTCATAACCCAAGGGTGATCAAGCAACTGTTTCACAGTCAAACGCCTCTTTGGGTCCACCTGCAGGAGAAGGGAATAAACTACTATGAAATTGTATTTCCTTACCTAAAAACATCAAACAGACACATAAACCATGCACACTACCTGCATCATCTGGTTTAGAAGCAGAATGCTAGCAGGTGAAAGCCAGTGTGGGTTGCTGTATTTGCCTCTCTGTCAAAACACAAGCCAATTTTGCACAATACATGCTATACAAACTTGCTTTTATTTCAATAACCTAGTAAATGCACGGATTATAAACCGTGGTGGAACACAAATAAACTTACTGTAATTTTTCTGTAGAGGACCATACAATTGTCATCATCAAAGGGTAGAAAACCACACAGTAGAGCGTAAAGCAACACACCCATACTCCACACATCAGCCTGAAACACACGTGCCATGAGATCACGAGTTATGCACACGCTTAATTTGTTGTTGCTTTCAAACATGTAGGACATGAAACACATACGGCACACTGACCTCAGAGCCGATGTAAGCCTTGCCCTGAATGAGCTCTGGAGCCGCGTATGCTGGACTGCCACAGCAGGTCAGCAATTCAAAACCCAAACCGCCCTAATTACAATTTTTTAAATGCCAATATTTATTTAAAAGCACTGATACATATGGACATATCATTTAAAATAACAAGCTGCTTTACAGCTGAAAATGAAGTCGTTTCATAATTGATGAATTTGCAAAATGAACACGGTTATTATTCCTGTTTACTGTCAAGCTGTTTTGAAACCATCTGTATTGTATAAAGTGCCATATAAATGCATGCGACTTGACTTAAAAGAAAACATACATAGTAATAGATGGATACAAACCTTTGGTTTGGCACAAAGGCCAAAGTCAATGAGTTTTAGGTTATGATCTTCATCGATCAGCAGGTTTTCCTAAGGTCAGTAAGAAACAGTTGTATCAAGAAAACATTGTTAACTTAATAATTCGCCCCTAAATGAAAATACCGTCATCATTTAGTCACCCTCATGTTCTGAATATCCGTCAGTCGGTTTCTTACACCGAGCTATCACATAAAGTCAAAAAGTCTTGGGATACAAGTTGGACCACACTCCTGATAGTGCTTTTGTGTCCTTTTCAAAGCCTTATAGGAACACTCCACTATTTTTGAAAATAGGCAAATTTTTAGACTTGAGTTCCTTGATTATTACGCCGGAATGAGAGTATAGTTCCTAGCCATATCGGCCTAGAAAATCGCAACTTTTCATTTTCCATTGGCCTTAGTACACGATGTAACTACAGAAGAGTCAAGTTTTAAATAGGAAAAATATCAAAACTCTTTGGTCATTTTTGAGCGAGATGCTAACGGTCTAATCAGATTCAATGATCTATGCTAAGCTACAGCTAAAAGTGCTACCGCCAGACCCGGAGATCGGCTGAATGGATTTGAAAACGGTAAAACTCAACTGTTTAACTCTAGGGGAGTTGGAAAATTAGTTCTGAATTCCTCTTTTGTGTTCCACATAATAAATCCTTATGGGTTTGGAACGGGAGTTCAAACAGCTGATAAAAGCATCATAATAATTCACAATTAATCGACACGACTTCAGTTCGAATCCAATTCCTAAATTCTTGTTTAGTTAAAACCTGTGTGTTTGTGAGAAACAAATTCATCATTAGGGCATTTGAACTTTTAACCCTCGCTTTTGGCCAAAATACGGCTCCATAATCCATAATAACGCTCCCTCCAGATCTCCTGTTATCCTCTCACATCAAAATCCACCCACTTATTCGTTTAGAACTGTTTTGTAAACCGTGCTCCATCTGAGCATTCTCTCCCGATTCAGACAAGACGTTCTGATGACGAAACAAACTCATCTACATCTCAGATGGCCTGAAGGCGAGTACATTTTCAGCAAATTTGCATCTTTGGGTGAACTATTCCTTTAAGACCATTCTCATTTCTGGGTGATCTGTTCCTTTAACTGGGAGAACTCCGTATAGGTTTAAACTACTTAAAAATGAAATGCTCTTTTCAACCAACTCACCGGTTTGAGGTCTCGGTGGGCATAACCTTGGCTATGAACATAGGCCATCGCAGAGATGATCTGATGGAAAAACACTCGGGTCTCTTCCTCTGATAACCGGTCTTTAGCAATGATGTAATCAAACAGTTCTCCTCCAGGACAGTACTGAGAGAGCGGCACGATGCATGCATATAAACATACGAAGCATAATGCATTTTCTTTAAGCATCAGAATCACTTTGAAGGAAACATACCTCAAGCACCATGTAGATCTTGCTTGACGTCTCAATGACATGGTAGAGACGACACACGTGTTGATGACTGAGGTTCTTCATAGCCTCAATCTCGATCTTAACCCGGGGCAGATCATCCTAGAAACAGGTAACACGCGTTTCTTTTCCAAAGAACATTTTCAACATGCCAACAAGGTATTTAATCTAAATTTGAAATAAATTGAAGAATATCTCCATATTTACTCTTTAATCATCAAAAGGTTTTGTGGAGATGTAAAATTAAAGGCCAATCTTAAAGGGATAGTTCACCCAAAAATGAAAATTGTGTCATCATTTACTCACTCTCATGTCAAAGTTGGCACTAATAGAAAAGAACGGTGTGAAGTCTAATTAATAAAACATTACTAATACATTACATACATTCTCCAGCCATTTAGATGTCATTTTAATTGGGTGAATACTACATTACAAAGACGGTTTTCATTGCTATAATCATTCACTCACTGGTCATTCTTTCAATTATGCATTCCTTTTTACATGCAGCCCACTATTTCCAAGGTATACAGTATGTCTATGGCTTACAGCATGCCTTATAGGAAGAGAGTGGTTTGCAGCTTTTTGGTATTCAGACACTTACTGGTAGGTAAATTACTTTGAAATTTGATATTTTGTCACACTCAAATTTGTAATTTTCCATGTCACCTTTGAAACATTTTCTATAATTGTTGTATGATTATGTGAGCAGTGTTTTGTGAATTCTGGAAAATTATAGGGGGAGGAATGACTAAAAAGGAATAACTCATCAGTGAAAAATAAATCCATGGCAGCAAAAATTTAACTATTATTTTCCCACAAAATTATCTAATGATCTAAATAAACCCCCCTTCCTGAAGTCATAACTCTAAAGCATGTGCAAAAGTCAATGTAGAATCTTTTGAATTAATCTGCATTCACTGCAAAATCATTCATCCATAGGCTTTGGTATATTCTTCAAAAGGAACACATAATAACGTTACTTATTTAACGTTTAACGTTTAACCCAGGCCATTACTGCAGAAAGGTTTTTATAACATTCCCTAATAGACAATATAGGTATAGCATAGAGAAGAGTATATACTGTATGTGCATAACACTGGTGAGAACGGTAGTGAGAAAGCAAGCAAAAGAGAACAAATATGAGAAAGAAAGCAGAGAATGTTGGAATATACATTATGCAAAATCCCTGTCTATGCTTTCCTCGTGAAGCAGAATCAATTACTGACAACCATAGAACAAAGACAGTTATGGTTTAGAATTACATTCAATACTAAATTCTTATAGCCAACATATAAATACTGTAAAACAAGCTGTTTAATACCCTGTTTAGAAATTCTGGTCTCAGTACAGTTGTCATTTTTGGCTAATCCATTCAAAACATTTAAATGGCAGGTTTTATGTTTCAGTGTCTGTATATGTGTGAGTGTATAGTGCACGCTTATTACTGGTATGGCTTGGACACTGCCTCAATGTTGATATTCTATACCACAACAAGTATTTTTGAACCACATTTGAGTTATTCTGACAGGTTTCTTGCCGTTTTGGGGGGGAAAAATACTCAATTTAACTGTTGAAAAGTCAAAGGGCAGTAGTTTTGTCAAAAGTACCAATGTCGGTACAAGTCGGAACTGAAATTTCAAAAATGTGATGATACCAGCATTTCCCGATAGCATTTTGAGCACTGTTGTGTGGAGTCTCAAACACCTCTGATTGGCCATTGTGTTCTCGTGCTCATCTGTGATTGGCTACAATGATCATCGCTTTACACTCTTCACTAAGCGCTTTCACAGATACACACAGGAGTGCGTGAACACAATGACCGATCAGAGGTGTTTGAAAATCCACACAACAGCTCTCAAAATGCTAGCGGGAAATGCTAGTATCGTCACATTTTTTAAATTTCAGTACCGACTGGTACCGACATCGGTACTTTTGACAACACTAAAGGGCAGTGAGAGTGCGAAAGAGCTGGGTGAGGCAGAAGACTGAGGTCGTTAGCGCAGTGCACTGGCGAGCCAGAAGTTTAATACTGAGATCATGACAAGTCTTTCTTTCGGTAGCACTTCCTACTAGCTCTGCTGCCCGAGCAAAGCCCTGATAAGTTTTTGCAACACTTGCTAGTCCGGTAAGTGCTTGGGCATGGCGCTCCCTGCATCGCTGGCAGTTAGAGAAACATAAACACACACTTGTCAGCTGTACCAGTGAGCGGAAGCTTTCAGACAATGATTGAAGTGTTTCCTCTGGCGTCTGCCCAACTCGGACCACGCGTTGGCATCCAGCTAAAAGCCCCCGAGCCTCTGCATGTAATCGCCTTTTGTTCTCTGAAAAGTGAGCTACACAGGTATCCCTGGTGTGCTTGTGGACCCCGTCTTGGTTTTTCATAGCGCCAGCAAGGACATTTAAGAGGGTATCCACATCCCTTTGCAAAGAAAGGAATCCTGTTGGTGGTAGGGGATATCGACGAGTCAGCAGCGAAGTGATGATATCTTCATGAGGGTCCGAAAGGAAGCAGTCAGGAGCATCCAATGGAGACAGAAGGGGACTGAGCTCTGTAGATGAAGAAGCAGGCAGTACTAGATGTGGGAATGAGGGCAATGGAGAAGATGGAGAGAAAGATGCAGGGGATGCAGAGAGGGAGGAAGGAGGGACAGATTTCAGCACAGCATCCCCTGTTTCACCCTGGCTCGTTCTGCGGGAAAACTCATATACAGTGAGTTCATCATCGAAGCTGGCGCTGTCAAGAACTCCAGTGAAACAGTTGGTGTATACTGTATGGCAGACCTCTAAAGGTGTCTGAGCACCCTCCATTACAGTGTCACACCCCATAGCCAGTACCGAGCTGCAGCTAAGGTCTGGTTTTTCATGTTGATTTGGGCTGGGCAAGGATTTTGGCTGGGCTATGGTAGGTTTGGACTGGCAGTTTGCGAAAACCCCACAGCTAGAGGTAAAGTTATGGGGTGTTGTGCTTGAGGGTGGGTGGCTACATTCTTGTAACCCACTAGACGTTACCACCCCCCAGGGTCCGTTTAAGTTCTGTGTTGTAACCACTACGGATGAGGGGCTGACTTGGAGTGAGTTGTCTGCCTTGGAGCACATTCCAGAAAACTCCCCTATGGCTATTCCAGAAAAATCTTTAGGTTCAGTTTTGGTTTTCAGCTGTCCACATGCTTTGAGGCCAATGTGGCTGACCTCTCTTACCTCCTCAATGACCTCAGTGACATCTTCAGATACTATGGTAACCACTTTTACCTCTGTAACTTTAGGAGAACCTTCATTCAACGTCACATCCTCAGTTGCCTCTTTTGCTACTTCAACTTCATTTTTTTGTAGTTGTGTTTCTGAAAGTCTTCTCACAGGTTTAACATTGCCATTGCCATCAGAGCTGCCATTTAGCATTTCCTGGGAACGTGATAAGTAGAGGGGAAGGTTCTGGATCTTTCCCCGCAATGTTGAGGCAGAGAGTCGCCCAAGGATGCCGGATGAATAGGGTGTAAGAAGGAACCTTTGGGCTGGTTCATAAGACGGAACAGCAGAAGACAGTTCTTGGAGTGAAGGGTCACAATTATTGTCAGTTTCATCAAATTCTGGTCCTCTGACTCGCTGGGAAAATAAGTGCCTTGATGGCCCACTACCAAAAGATGCAGACATACTCTGACTCCTGGTCCTCTCTGTTGGCTCCACTGAGTGCTTTCCCATCCCAAATTGTAGATGTACAAAACTGCTGTCTCTGTCTACATCAGGGCTTGTGGTGTATGATATGCTCGGGACATGGAAGTAGGGTAAACTTGATGGGGATATCTGGCCTAGTCTTGGCAGTGAGCTGCTCTTTTGAGTCACTGAACTGCCTTGGAAAAAATCTTCCATCTGTTTGGTTACCTGATCTCTTTGACCAAATAAAACACTGCTATCACACTGTTCTTTAGACATATCAAAGAACAAGTGGTCTCCAAACATTCTCTCAACTAGACCTCCCACTGTACTCTCCTCTTGATCATCTCTGCTATGGTTACTGGTGCTTCCTTTATCCTGTAGGTCTATACGGGAGCGTACTGCTACTATAGCTGGCGATGCAGTAGGCATTAGTTCATTGACTGATTTGAACTCCATGGAATCTGGTTCCATCTCTATAAGTTGCTGTTTCCGCTGATATGGTTTGTTTGAGTGTGATCCCACTGTATCAGTGGGAATATGTGGTCCTGATCCATTGACTTTGGACGGGTTGATGGGTTTGGATTCAAGTTGCGCTGGTTCTCCTTCAGAATCAGTTAGGGATGAGACTGTTGGACATGGACCTTGATCTGAGCAACCACCTTCAAAACACGCCATTCGGCCAGCACCTTGGTTGATTGATACAGGACCATAGATTGGGATGTTATTTACATAGCTGTTACCTAAATTATCCTGTTCTGGGAATGATACCAGGGACGTGTAATTTGTTTCCATGAATGAGCGACGCTTTTTGGATCTTTTATTGAAATTTGACAATTCAACTTGTGTAACCATTTTATCTTCCTCCTTTTGTTTCTTCTCTTCTGCCTCCTGTTCACTTGCACATATGCCAATCTCCCTCAGGCTTAGTGTCTGTAATATGGTGCTTGACTCTTCAAAATTTTCTATAAAGTGAAATATCAGCAAATACATTTGGTAAGTATTTGTTAGCAAAACTCCACATGACTATTTTTCATATGCTTTACTACATTCTTTAACTTCTACAACATGTTATAGAAATATTTTGAGAACATTTCATGGAGAATCTCCCCTATGTCTTACCTCTTGTCATGGCTGTTGAAGAGGTTTCTTCAGCTGGTGTGAATCTTTCCTGAGCATCAAAGAACTCGTCATCTGAACTGCTGTCTCCAAACCCTGGTGGGGGTTGAAAAATTGGCACTGTTTCTCTCTGATTCGCTTCCCCTCTTTCCCGATCTGGTTGTGTTTCCATAAAACCGGAAGGAGAGAGAGGTCGTGGAAGGCTCCGTGCACTGTCTGGGGTAACATTGGTGCAGATATTGTAATAGTGTCTAGTGTCTCCTTGTACAAATGTGAACACATAGTCCACAGGAGGAGCTAGGGTGCTTCCAGGACATTTTGCAGGTGACCCCTTTTCATGTTTTTCATCCTCTATTCCCAGCTCCTCACAGTCCTCCTCTTCACTGGCTGCAGGGGGACTAGGTAGACATTCAGCAATATTTGAGAGTGCAGGAAAGCAAAAGAATTGGTCAATATCAGGTTCACAATGGGAATCAGCAGAGCACGGGTCACCTTGGGAGTGAGAATCTTTGCTGTACGGTTGCCGTGGAGACAATGATGGTGAATAGCGATCTTCACAGCAGTAAGAATCTTTCACTGGTAAATGGCATGGGCGTCTGGTAGAAAAGTAGGTCATGAGGTCGTCCTCCTCTAGGGCATCTATAGAGTCACTGGACATGCTGGTCATGAAATGTGACTCAGTTTGGTATGAATCAGATGCTTCAGATGATGGGTCATCGACAATGATGACACACTGAGGTTGTTCAGGCTTTTTCTCTTGCTCTTTGTTTTCCTTTTCTGTGCCTACACTCTCATCGTCTATTTCTACTGTCTTTCCATTATTACCATTTATATACTGATGGATGGTTTCTTTGTCCTCCTCCCTTTCCTTCTTCTCAACCACCTCCTCTTCTTTGCCCCCTTCCTTCTTCACCTCTTCATCTTTGTCCATGTATCTTTGTGCTTTTTCAGTTTCTTCTGGTAGCTTATCACTGGGTTTATCTGCTGTGTTGTTGCTTTTGGCAGTGCTAGCAACATGAGCAAGGAGAGCATCCACGTCTGTGTCTGAGTCGTCAGAGTCACTGCCACAGTGTGACACATAACCTGTACACAATGGCAGAAGCACAGACAAAATTAAGATAAATCACACTGTGAACATTTTCTTTGTCAACATGCAAACAGTGGTCACAGTTCCTTAACAGACAATCCCTTCCTCTGCTGATACTCGCTACTCACAGTTAGTTCCAATTGTGTTTGTCACAATTTTTTTTCACAGTAATGACATAAATGTCATATACCTTGTGATTTTATAGGCACTGCTAAGATGCAAACAGTTTCCACTGTTAAAAATTCTATGTAACCTAATATCACATCTTGCTATTTTTAGAACATTGTATGTACAACCAGAGTATGTGAGCAGTATGGAGTGGAAGTGGAGCTCTTAGATTCTGCTTGAAGCATGAAGATTTTTCTTTTGTTTAAATCAGAGCAGCAATGTTTTCTCTTGCTCCAAGAGGATTTTCAATATTCAAAATTGATCAAAGCTTTGCCAGACCAAAGAATTCAGTAATTCAGTACCTTCCTCTGCTGATATTCGGTGGCTCTTTGAATGATCTGACCAGGGGAACACACAGATCTGGGGGTCCACGAGAAGTCTGCAGTATCCAGCAACTAGACACAATAAATCTTTAGCTGCCACTGTCTCCATCAGCAAGGTTATTGGCTGAAGACAGGAAAAGTGTGACAATATTAAAGAAAGAGAGCAATGAAAGGATTATACTGAGTGTACATATATGTAGATGTGAGTATGAGTATGTCCTGTATATTATATACCTTTATATCCTGCAGGTAGATCTTGACCAGACTAACTCTGTCAGACTCAGGTAATAATTCCACTCTGGTAATAGAGCTGAATTCAGTTAGGGTGGTCATGATGCTCAGCTTGTGGTTGATCACCTGACTCACCCCATACTGAGCTCCCACCAACAAACTCACTATTGACTCCCTGTCCTGTAGCTAGTTAAACAGAGAGAGATATATATAGAGAGAGAGACAGGGAGAGTGAAAGAAAGATATGTGATAAACGAAGACTGTGATATATGAAAGAATGGACAGCAGCAAAAAATGAAGGAAGGGTGGGGGATAAACCAAAAGGGTTGTTACGAACATTTGTATGAAAAGCAAACAATGATCCACTGCATTTCACATCTCACATTCACTCATCTTTACTTGACTTTTTATGCCAAGCAAACATCACTAAGTTAAAGTTATCTGCATTTACATTTATGTAAAATTATTTTTGTGAAATTGCAACATTTATTTCAAATTGCAAGAATTAGTTGTGATGGTCTTTGAAGTATCCGTTAGAATGGGTTTATGAAAATTATGACAGTAGTTCTGTGCCATTGGTTTCTAGTGAAAGTGTGTTCATGAATTTATAGCGTTCTATGTATTCAAGCTATTATTCCACAGTAAATATCTAACAAATAATGCATTAATTGTCTATGCTTTCTTAAAGAAAGCTTAATGTTTAGTGAAAATTAAATATATATTTTCTCACACGTATACAGTCACTAAAACATGAAAAAATACACTACTGTTCAAAAGTTTGGTGTCAATGAGAAAGGTTTTTTTTTTTTTTTAAAAAAAAAAACTAAGAAGAAACAATTATTTAAATCAAATGGAAAAAAACATAAAAAATAAAGGGAATTCTGGGAATGTAAATTTTATGGTTTTCACTGTAAATTATAAGACGACTTGCTCACTTCCAAAAACTAAATTTAAAATGAGAAAAAGTGTTCTGTTTGATTTATTAAATTTTTTTGACTGTATATAGTAAGGGAACTTACCATTACCCAAATAGTCTTTTATCGTTGCATTTTGAAAAAATATTATCGTTAAAATTATGATAATTTTGAAAATCTCTGAAAGGCTGCATTTATTTGATCATAAATACAGTAATATTGTGAAACATGTTTACAATTTAAAACAACTGTTTTCTATGTGAATAGACTTCCAATATTTTATTATAAAGGTAATTATGACTACTGACTAACACCCAAAAAAATCTTTGCTTTGTTTATGAATTAATTTTCCAATTGAGGCTTTGTTTTGATTAGCTCAATAAGCCCACATTTGAGGACAAACGGGTCTACAAACTAAGTATGCAAACAAACATACATCACAAAAAGGACTGTATTTTACATTAAAAGGAATAGTTCACCCAAAAATTAAAGTTTGCTGAAAATTGTATTCACGCTCAGACCATCCAAGATGTAGATGAGTCTGTTTCTTCATCAGATGTGGAGAAATTTAGACAATTTAGACATTTGCCTGCCTGTTCCACATGTTGTATTATGCTTTGAAAACTTAACTTGGGTTTATCTTGAATAGTTTGTATTCAATTTAGCATTGCATCACTTTGCATCACTTGCTCACCAACAGTCCAAACTGTTCAAATATCAGTTAACATTAAAGTGACTTGATGGATTGATATTTAAAAATATATGCTATGTTTATACACAGACACAAGCACACACCTGTAGGTATAGATACTCAAAGGCCACAGGATCATCTTTGAGCATGCAGGTGAAGTCTCTAGGTAGAAAGCAGACACGGAACAGACACCTGTAGTCGTGAGTCTCCTTCTTTTCAACCACCTGTCACACATAAAGAGTATTAGATATATGCTGTATGTGAGCCATTTAACAATTACAGATGAGTGTAGAAAGAAGGAACTAAAGTCGTTAAAGGAACATTTTCACGCAAAATGACGATTCTTTTATTTATACTCACTTGGTGTTCCAAACCTGTATGGCTTTGTTTTTTTCTGTCAAACACAGATTCTCAACACGTAAAAAAAAAAGCACCATGAAAGTATCAAAGCGCTCCATATGCAGAAGGATTTCTGCAGCTTCTTATAAGAAAGTCATAATCACTGAAAATCTTTTGGACTACGTTTATGACTTTTTTTCCCCTTCCACAGGTTCAGAACAACTTGAGGATGAATAAATGATAACTTGCATTTTCATGTGATGTTTGTGTGTGTACCTTTTGAATAATCTCTTCCTCATGCAATAGATATAGTTTGCTGATTCTGTATTGTTGTTCCAGCACCAGAGAGAAGTGTTCAATACGGCTGATTGAGAGTTTCTCCTTCAGAGTCATCACTATGTCCTGATGGAAAACACATTTCATAAGAGGATACATGAAGCATGTGAAATTATATACAGAATTGTAATGCACAACACTTGTTAAAGCTAAGAAGACCTTCCTTGTAGGGCACTGTGACGGTACCATGGAACAGTGATGGTATTAGATGGTTATGTTGGGTACTTTGATATATACCATGGTACTGAATAATTGCCATAATCATGTACAGTGATATTTACACTAACACTGAAAAGTCTGGGGTTGGTAAGATTTTTAAATGATTTTATATTTTTATTTGATCAAACATACAGTGAAATATTATTATAATTTAAAATAATGGTTCTATTTTTTGAACAATCTGTTTATTGAAAAATAAATTGTAATATACTTTAAAATGTAGTTTATTACTTGTGATGCCAAAAAGGCCTTTTCTGCAGCCATTACTCTAGTCTTCAGAAATCAAGCTCAAAAGAACAGCATTTATTTGAAACAGAAATCTTTTGTAACATTATAAATGCCTGTACTGTCCACTTTTGATCAATTTAATGCATCCCTGCTGAATAAATGTATTTATTTAATTTTACTGACCCCAAACATTTGAATGGAAGTGTATATAACACTACCAAAAATTCCCTAGTACTGCAAATGGAACATGTTTGAAAAACATGGTTTTACCATTGTACTTTTTGCTTTTTTTGCATTTGGATGCCAACAAACATTATAAAACAGGCAATACAATTAATACTGACTGAAAATAAAAATATCAGACTATAGCGAATAAATATGCCTACAGTACCTTTACAGTGGTTTTAGATTCAAATTTAAAAGCCTTCGTTTGGCCATTCTCCAGATAGACCTTCAGAACATTTGGCAGGAACAGTAGAGAGTTTCCCTGGAGGTCAGAGGTCAATATAGGATCCAAGGTCAATATAATTATTATAAATAAAAATATATGTAAAATACATAGTAATGATAGCACACATGCTATATTAAATCAAACAACTGCCTGTTTCAACAAAGTGTTAAAATAATTCTGGCTAAGCCAATTTTATCAGTCTCATTATCATATTAAAAAGATTAAGCCCTCCAAAAGCGGCATACAAAAAAAGATAAACAGTTTTATCACTGCCTTAGTTGTGTGGTGTGCTTGATAATGGGTTTGTTTAATTAGATGTTAATTAAAAACATCTGGGTCGGGGGAAATGAACATCCTCACAGCAGTCCACCTAAAGAAACAGTTCATTCAAAAATAATGATAAAATAATAATATTTTTACTTTTAGGTGGATTGTTTCTTTAAGGTGCTCTATCATAACTATTACTTATGATAAATCCCCCACCTATATAAATTGCAGCTATACTATACACCATGTCAGCACAGCTACACAAAGATTTTGATTAACGGTTAATTGAATAATTAATAAATTACTGATAAATTATTGACTGAGGTTTGCCCAAGACTGGGTAGACTGCCAAATGCTCTCCCTCTCAATGCCTCTCTATTGTTGTGCATCTTTTGTTCATGTTCTCTCTTTCATTTCATCAATCACCCTCTTTATCTCCTTTTTGTTAGTAAGCACATGTGAATACTCCATTATTAACATAGCATGAATGAACATAAATGTGTCAAACCTGTGAGTGACCATTGACCACCACCTCCTCTGCAAACCTCACTTTAATTGGGTTTGACTTCAGCTTGGCTCTCTTCTCCGGAGTTATGAAGGACGACTTTGGCCCCTATAGCACATCCATAATGACAAACAGCATAATTATGGACATGTTTGACCTTCAATGACATACTCCAACAAACATTCATTGCAAAAATGCACTGGCTTTGAATGATGTCTCTGCATTGACTGTGACACACCTGTCACTCAGAAATAAAGTAAGATTTACAAACAGGGAGGCGTCAAAACTTCCTGAGTCCAAACTAACTGTATTTCCTCTTTATCTTACAAAAAGATACTGTGGAGGCACCATGCTACAGAAACCGCATCAGATATCAGATGATATCTTGGGATGTTATCATGGTACTGAATGATTACCATATTCAAATCATTACCATATCATAGCAATATCACACTATATATACTAGAAAAATAGAACAATGCAACCTAAAAGTTTTCTTGAACACACACATACATACATACTGTATATGTTGCAAGGATATGAGAATGTTATTCCCCTAAAATATTGTATTTCTTACTATTAAAATACAATTTGTGTCTTACAAAATTTGTGATTTTTTAATTTTTGTTCTCCAGACCCCAGACTGAAATCTTGCACATGCATCTTTATGTTGTTTTTATACTTTCCTTATGAACAGAATTCTGCTAAATAGATGTATGCAAGATAAAATGTTTAACAGGGTTATTGGAAGCTGAAAGCATAATCAAATTATACAAAATATTTAAAATAAGAACAAATAAGGGATGGGAGATGTGCACTTTACTAGGCACTTCAAATTCAGCAGAAATTTAGGGAGCTTTCTGCTGAGCTCTGTAGGCACAGATTTCCTTTGGGCCTGATTGTTATTAAAAAAAAAAACTTTTGGTCATAATTTCTTCCTGCTTCCATAATGCAGCACAATACCACATCCTCCTGCCATACCTCATTCAGACACAACAGAGTGTAAGAGAGAGAGAGAGAGAGAGAGAGAGAGAGAGTCTCTAACTTGTGCACATACACTTACCACAGTATTTCTCAGGACAGTCAGTATTATGGTGTTCTGACATTCTCTGTAAATAAATTAAAGAGAGTATGGCAGAATTACTGGTACAAATGCAGCTAGAGTAAACAGATTTTTCCTAATATAGTATATGTTCTAAAGATACACATTTATAATCAATTTGGCCCCATGAAAATTAACTAAAATATTGGGTAAAACTGGACATCTGGGCAGCCAGATTTAGCTCATTTTATAGTTTCACATAAACACTCACACCTGCGACATACCTGATTATGTCAGCAGCCTGCTCTGCAGATAGATCATCAACAGCAACATTGTTAATTTTGAAAAGCTGGTCACCAGGGACAAGCTTTCCATCAGCAGGGCCACCTATAAAAACAGACGCGCATATCATGATACTGTAGTTCTGTCAATCATTTGTACAAGGTTTAGAATTCCATTACCGGTACCAACCTGATTTGTCATAGTTATGCTGTTTTATAAGAATGTTTGTGAAAAAAAGTGTTAATGTTGTCCTAATTACTAGCTAGTTATTTGGCTGTGGGGTAACCAGATGGCTTTAGTCATTCCAAGAGTAGAGTTTCCTGTAGATGAAGCTCCATGTGCCAACCCAGTCAGCCAACATGTTGCTCTACACTCTTAAAAATAAAGGTGCTTCACGATGCCATAGAAGAACCTTTTTGTCTAAATGGTTCCAGAAAGAACCTTTAACATCTGAAGAACCTTTCTGTTTCACAAAAGCTTCTTTGTGGCGAAATAAGGTTCTTCAGATTATAAAAAGGTAAGAAAGAGATGGTTCTTTAAAGAACCTTTGACTGAATGGTTCTTTGTGGAACCAAAAATGGTTCTTCTATGGCATCGCCTGAAGAACCTTTTGAAGCACATTTGTTTTTAAGAGTGTACAAGCAGGCAATACATGCAAATAGCTGCTGGGTCACATTTCAATCATCAAATTCAACATTTTTTAAAAAAGTTTCAGATTTCTTCGCACTATTAAATGATAAAAGCTTTAACACTTTACAATAAGGTCTCATCTCTTAACATTAGTCAATACATTAACTAACATCAGCTAACTATGCGCAATATATTTTACAGCATTTACAAACTCTCATTAATATTACTTATGTTAATATTCATGTTAGTTCACGGTGCATTAACTAACATTAGCAGATACAACTTTTGATCTTAAAAATGTAATGTATGTATTAGTAAAAACTCTTTTTAATATTCTATATAATGGACATGTCATAAAAATATACACTAATAGATTCATTCATCATCATATTTTATAGTGAAAATAAAAAGAAAAATATGAAATTTTCTAGAAGATATAATGCGATTTCACTCAAGTTTATTTGAGCAATAAATATATTACCGCAGTATCCTTTCTGTAGTAATGGAAGCTTGTTTGGTAGCTAATGCACTGTAGCGGTTTTATTGATTTCCATGAAGAGCTTGTGTGCTGTATAATCAAAATTTAACTTCAAAATGTAACAATCTCAGCAGGAATTTATTCAACCTGTTTAGAGTGCTGCCTCAGATCGAATGCCTCAACAAACATGGTCATTGTCTTCATATTATGACATTGGATGACATTTTCACAAGTTCATAAGGTGCACATTTTTTTCTACCAACAAGCTAATCTAGAGATTCTCATAGTGGGATAATGTATGGCTTCGAATCCATTTGAGCTGATGAGCATTTTTAGAGATGATGGTGTGTGTAATGTACCTTCCGTCACGTCCAGCACCTGCGGCGGAGTGTGTGTTGAGACAGTAAAGCCATGGGAGTTAAGGGTGGGGTCAAGTGGGATCTTAACAGTGACTCTAATTGGACAGCTCCTCTGCTCCTGGGAGCCATTTTCGGCAACTTGCCCATCTTCTAGCACACGCTCTCTGTGTACAGACAGAGAGAGAGAGGGTGATGCTATTTAAACACAAAAGAAAAAGAAAAGCAAATGTACTCATTCACACAATCATTTTTAGATTTATATAAAAGGTACCGGCTGATGGACTCTCTGGAGCGGCGAAGCCAGCGTCCCACCACCTGCTCTACTCTGCTGGTCCTGCGAGATGGTGAGCGACTGCGGTCCCGCTCCTCCATTTAGCTACACACAGGGTGAAAGGTCACCATTGGGGCACTATTTATTGTAATGGAAAAAAGGTAATAATTAGGGATGCACCAATGTATCGGCCAATAATCGTATCAGCTGATTAAAGCAATCATCGGCCTTTGGCTGATTGTTAAAAAACAGCTGATGATCAGGGCTGATTCAATCCTGTCAATCAAAAAGGGGAGGTAAACCATGTCAGACTGCAACTCGTACTGTGTGTGAAGAAAACTCTCATGTTGAATTTAGGGCTGCTGTTAGTTAACGTGACAATAACACATTAGCAGTTAAAAAAATAGCGACATTAAAGCAGGCTCTGTTCGTCCATATCAATCACCCAAAGTTCAAGCCAGGGTTGCCAGATCCACGTTTTTCTCTACAACAAACATTATTTGTAATGCGCCTCCCATCCAATAATCACAAAGAGCTTTGTGCTTTGTTACTTCTGATAAGAAACAAAGTCTCAGCTTTCAAATCCTGTACATGTTATTACAAACTATTTGTAATAGTTGTAATATCTCAATGATAGTGAAAAAATCAGTCAAATCTGTTATACAGACGATCTGCAGTAGCTACATTTATGAACTTATTGTTGAATATTCATTTGCAAATTGTCAGACATTTTTGGATGTTTTAAAACTGTTTGTTTCTTTTTTAGTATATCCTCTTTAGCCAATCAGACACAACATATATTTAATCCAGCCAATCACAGTCTGACCACTTTGCATTTCACAGTATTTGCAGTAGATTTTGAGTCTATAGGTACTCATGAGTCATACGGTATTCATGTATATACAACTAATTTAAATTACTTTATACATGTGTATAATACATATGTATTTCTTTAATATATATATATATATATATATATATGATATGATATATGATATGATAAAATGTGTTTGTGAGTTGATGAAAAGCTAGTAATTCAATCATAAAAATTTAAAATTTAAATAAATAATTTTAAAATAACAACAATCAAAATAAAACACATACTAAAAAAAATTATAAATATTAGTTTACCTGCATGTCATGTAACCATTAAAGGGATAGTTCACCCAAAAATGAAAATTTGCTCAGGTAATAATGTTTGCTCAGGTAATAAACAGCCCAATCGTTTTGCATCATAACATGCCACGGGTATTAATTTTGTATTCCTTGATATGCTTTTTTTTATTCTCAAAGACGGACAGCCGCTGACTTGCATTTTATGAATCACCAAAGACCATGATTTCAGCGAAAATAAATTCTTCTTTACTGTTCTACTCAAGAAGAAGAAAAAGAAGGAATATTTATATATACACACACATATACTGTATATATATATATATATATATACAGTATATATATATATATATATATAAAGGTAATGTGTGGTCAACCTCTCTTCCTCCTACAGTGGTATGAAATGTGGTCTCTCTTTATATTGTAGGTTCTGCATATTGTGGTGTTGTTGCAAAATTACTTTTTATAAAGGGTTGAAGTTTATTGTGCTTCAATATCAAGTATGTCCCACCAGGGAATGTGAGAGACAATCTGGAGCCTCATGATCAACAAAGAGAAGGACCAACAAAGACTAAGATATAAATAAAATACTGTGACCAAAAAAGAGAGAGATCCCTGGAGATCATGACTCATGGACACATTATGTTCTCAGATTACACAAGATTAGGATCTCACTTTCCATTTATTTTCCTGCTGTCAACATTGTTATCAATACTGCATACAGCACATCAAAGTCGTTAGACTGCAATACTCGCCCAGCCATTTTCACTTGCACAGTAGTGACTGCCTACTTTTTCACCAGCCCTGATTTTATATATATATATATATATATATATATATATATATATATATATATATAAAAATAAAAAAAACTCAACCCCCGTTGATCCAAACTAACCAGCAACATTACACCCATTAATGTTTATTATTGTACCGTAAGCAAAAGGTTTGAATGCACACCAACTGAAGTTTTTGTTTTGCAAAATTTTACACGGCTGATTAGATGGCAATAATAGGAAATGTAACAATGGTTCTGATATACTTTGAAATTATTTAAATTTTTCCCTGGTCTTCACTTTTTAAAATAACTAGCCCATAATTTCTAACCATAGCAATTCCCTTACCTAAGCAATTAATGCACCAAAGGAGGATCCCAATAGCAAAAACAGCAATGTGCTCTCTGAAGAGTTTCCAGAACAGTTTGTACCTCAGGCAGTTTGCATTATGAATAAGGAAAAACACCTCTTGATTATCATGCACCTGCCTTTTTTCCACTCTTCTGCTAGAAATCACTTTCTATTCTAATCAGCTATTTCAGTTATTGCATTATTGTTGCCTGATTAAATATTAATCATTTTAATAATAAATGATAATAACATATTAGCAGCTATTCTGCCTAACCACGTTGTTCACTAAAAACAGCTCTCTATTTCTTTTTAAGCACAAAGGCATTGCAGGCGATCTCTCTTTAAAGCTTATACTTAAGGATACCACCTCCCCTCTCACACCCTTCCGTCTTCAAGAGGATTAAGCACCAAATATGGTTGAGGTTTCCCTATTCAACTCTCATTACTTTTTCAGCACCATTTAATATATTTTATTCATGATATATGCTTCAGTGCCGTCTTGATCAATAGGGATCTAATGTACATATGGCCTCTTTTCACAGCAAAATCAGGAGCCAGTGGAAGACCTTAAGATTATAATATATACTAAAGACAGAATTATTCAATTACAGGTAGGAGTCTGTGAACTGCTAGATCACTAAAATGGATCCAGGAATTAAATTTGTGCTATAGAATTGGGATAGGGGCGCATAGTCAATGAATTTCACAATAAAACATTTCAGTTTACTGCTCTGTCTCTGTCTCCCCACCCCCCTCTCTCTATTAGATTAGTGGCCTGTAGAGTGGGGTTTAATTCCCCCTCACGCCCATGGTCCCATATAAAAAAGGTCTGCTCATGCTCTCTCTCTAAGAGATAATGGATGTACTCCATCATTAGCATGGGCAGCTAACGCTAATGGCTAGGTTGAACTATAACGTAAGAATCGTCTACAATTCATTCACATTCACATGGGAGGATTACGGGTAGTGGACCAGTCAGGACAGATTATGCTTACTATGTTACGTTAGCACTGAGCAATGCTAAATAGCTTAAATGTACACTTAGTCTATCAGTTATAGGATCCTAGCCAGTAATAGATCTTTCAGCAGGCTAAAAGTGTCAAACAGAGTTACACACATCAGGTGTATCACAACACACCCGTCTCGCAAACATCACTCACAGGCGGTGCTTAATAGTAAGAGGTATTGGTAATTTAATGCCTAATTTAATGAATTTTTTTTTTTTGTACAGGGCTCGCAAAATTTTAAAATCCCTGGTAACCCTTCGGGCAGGCATTCTTCAGATTTTGGTTGCCCAAAATGAGTTTAACTAGCCTGAATAAAAAAGATATCGGCTGAAGATCCCTGTGGACAAATCAGCATGTTTGAAAACTTCAGTGATTGTATTTTTCAAGACTGTAGGGGTGCAACAGATCACAAATCTCACGGTTCGGATTATTAAGGATTTTGAGTCACAGATCAGATCTTTAAAAGAATATATATTATTATTATTTAAAAATCACTAAGTACTTCTTTGATACCACAGCAAAAACTATTAGCATAACTAATAATGGTCAAACATTATTAAAGACAAGTGAACCGTCATTAATAGAATAAGAACAAATAAACCATTTACAAGCACAGATAAAATATAACAAAGCTAGAAATAAAGGTCTAACATTAGTTTTCAGGCACAGAAATGTAATAATTAAGTATAAAATAACACTGCACAGTGTTCACTGTATAAATTAAATACAGATTGATCTTTGTTAAAGTTGTGTTTTGTTGTTTGATTAACATTAATGACACAGACAGCAGCAGGTTTGTAGGCTGCTGTCCCTTTAAGACCTAATGTACGGGTCTAATATAATGATACGCATGCGATTTCTTTGTTTATGTTCACTTCACATAAGATATAACCGACTGGGTTTACAAGAATACTTGCTGAGACGGGTATTTTGAGAGAATTTTGTGTGTATGTGTCCGTTCAAGCATGAAACACGACTGTGTTTGCACGCTGTATGAAACGTGGCTATGTGTGTGCGTGCTTTGAGTGTGTGCACACAGAAAACAGTGCGCGAGTACTGAATTGAGTTCTCCTTCGCCTCTTCTTGCAATGAATGGTTTAAAGCGCTTGAATGTTTAAATTGGCAAGACTTAGAAACACGTGCAAATGATCATACGATCCGTTTCACCCCTACAAGCGAGTGAACAGTCAAAATAGCCAGTCTGGCGATTTTGCAAGCCCTGCGTTAAGTTTCGTTCAACCCTAAAATATAACACAGTACAATGCGTTATTTAAAATCTGGGGAAAATTCCTGTGAATTAAAAAATTCCTTCAATTAGCACAGTGGACCCTGTTTTCACGTACATTTTTTAGAGTCTACATACACAGAATGTTACAGGCAGACGGCCTGAGAAGTGTTCTAATTGGATTAGGAATGTAAAGGCTGGGACAGAGTTATTGCATCACACACTGAGCCGATCACTGAGCCATTTACACACATGTAAACATACAACACTATGGACAGACCAGTACACACACACACACGCCACACTTACCTTAGGGTCAGATGATACTGTGTTTCAACATTAAAAAGAAGAACTTTTCTGTGGACTGCATCACCAATTCTTCACTGCATTAATTTGATCATTTGAGTCTACTCATCAATCTAAAGGACTTTCAGATTCCTCACTCTGTTAGTTTAACAGCTAACATTAAATAAACTCCTTTATTTCATTTGCTAGCTCAGAAAAACTATATGCAGTGTGAGGAATTTTGAAGTTTTTGTCCAATCCATTTGCACTACATCTATGTGGTTGTTATGAACCTGGACTTTTGCAGGTTAATATGAGCAAAGAGAAAGATTCAGAAGTTTCACCTATAATGAATTCCAGAATGTGTAGGCGCTTTATTTTCTTCTTGATCCAATGGTCCTCTGCATCAGGACATGCTGCCATGATGGAACTCCAAAGGGTCCTCGGCTCTGTCAAAGTGACACATATAATGTTATCTGATGTTTTTTAAACATTCACTCCTTATCTCGCTATGAGAAGTGAATCTCGCGTGACTGACGATAGAAGTTGAGTCGCAGCAGTACAGCCCTGTTACATCATTCTCATTGCCTTCTCAACATGAATATAAATTAACAATTTATAGATGAGGTGTCATGGTAACACTGCTACACATAATTTTGTCTGTGCAGTGAGCAGAGTCAATTTTGTGTACAGCGAGGTTTTTTTTTTCTTCTGTGGTTTGGGTTGCTCAAAGCAGGGTTTCTCTCATTGGTGAATGAGTGGGGAAATGAAAACCTGGAATGGAGCTGGAGCGGAGTGAGTTTCTGTGGTGAGTTACGCCCAAGCGACAACCTTCCATCCAGTCTGTCTCTTGAAACCAACACGGAAGTGACTTAAACTGCAATTCATCGACTGGCCGCTAGAGACTGACTCCAAAAGGGAGTCATTCCCGTAGACCCCCAATGTTAAAATGCCCAACTTTACAGCAGAAAAAAATTATGTTTACAGCCTGGAACAAAAAGTGGTTTTGGTCTATATAGCTAATTTAGCCCTTCATGACACCTGTGAGGGGGATGAACTTTTTTTTATAACTCATCCGTTTAAATCATATTAAGCTTTAAAGTTCTGCATAATTAAGGGCATGGCCACTTGAGTGACAGGTGGATTGCCTCTGCTGTCACCACCGTCGAGCTAGGTGGGCGTGGTTTCAGCAACCAGTCACCTCAGCTCCACCCACGTCCCACTCATTTCGATTAACCCAAGAGTGACGCGCTGCCAAGATGGCGATGGCCGGCTCCACCTACTTTAGGCTTCAAAAATGCTCTTCAGAAAGCTACGGGTGACGTCACTGACACTACGTCCATGTTTATATACAGTCTATGGTTACACCTGAGATATTTTATCTCACTCTGCTATTTAGAATAAAGCAAGGGTGTCAAACTTAATTCCCGGAAGGCCGGAGCCCTGCAGAGTTTAGATTCAATCCTAATTAAACACACCTGATCCAACTAATCAAGTCCTTCAGGCTTTTTTTGAAAACTACATGGTATGTGTATTGGAGCAGGGTTGGAACAAAACTCTGCAGGGCTCCGGACCTCCAGGAATTGAGTTTGACACCCCTGGAATAAAGAAACTTAAATATATGGTTAGATCAAGTAGAAATAGACCCTTGCAGATTATCAATTAAAATCAAAAGCTAAAAAGGAATTAGACATGGCCAGCAAGGCCTTATTCAAGATCTGGTGCAAAGGTACCAATGAAATGAATAGTTACATTACATTGCAACATGTTTGATGTTCAAAGCTGTTGTACCACAAAGGATTCAGCTCTTTTGGGTTGTTTAAAGGATTAGTTCACTTCCAGAAAAAAACATTTCTGATAATTTGCTCACCCCCATGTCATCCAAGATGTTCATGTCTTTCTTTCTTCAATCGCAAAGAAATTAAGGTTTTTGAGGAAAACATACCAGGATTTTCCTCCATATACAGTAATGAACTTCAATGGGACCAACGGGCTGAAGGTCCAAATTGCAGTTTCAGTGCAGCTTCAAAAAGCTATACACAATCCCAGCCGAGGAATAAGGGTCTTATCAAGTAAAACGATCGGTCATTTTCTAAAAAAAATGAAAATGTATATACTTTATAACCACAAATGCTCGTCTTGCACTAGCTGGACGTCACGCATTACGTAGTCACGAAAGATAACCAACCGATCAAACTGATCAAACTGATTGACTAAAACGAATCTCTGATTAATTTGAAACCCTGTATTCATAGAAGTTAATTTGCAGCATTTTATGTATTTTAAGTTGAAAAATATTTAGTTAAAACGCTGTTGTTCATCATTTTTTTATATTTTGATTTCCTTTTCTAATTAAAATTTCTATTTAGTGTAAAATGATTTATTTTGCTTGTAGAAATAAATATTATTATCTTACATTTTAAAAAAGATTTTCCACTCTTGAATAGCTTAAAGTTAGCTTAAACCTAGTAATGTCATGCCTTTTCAAATGGGTATTTTAACTGTAATATAACTATTTTGAGTTATGGGAAGCTTATAAAGAAACAGTTACAAAGAAGCTTCCTCAACACTGATAAAATGACAATGGAAGACTGAGGCGGAGATTAAGAGAGAGAAAGAAAGACACAACTATCAGGCTTGTCGGAGTCCCCTCTGAACATTTTCAGCTCCCAGCTGTTGAATAATTAATGTACCCAGTGCAAAAACAGAGAACACCGCTCTCTTTCTCCCTCTCACCCACTTGTTCTCTGCTTTCCTTAGTTGATCCTTCTCTCACTGCTATTTTCCCTCATAACCACAGCCTGCCTTGTCTTTCAGTGCCATTATTTAATTTTGTTACTGTGTCTTTCTCATTTAGTCAAGCGAAAGATTTTAAAAATGCAAAACAAAAGCCCTATAGAAAAAGACGTTGAACAATGAGCGTACAGTTGTACACAATGAATGAATGAAAAAGACTAAATAAAATGTTTATGATTTTTCTTCCTCATAAAAAATGTATCATTCAATTTGATAACGCTCTAGAATGGCAGCTTTTGATGGTTTGTTCACTATACGTGTTGTATGAGCAGATGTATATTTATGAAGTTCCCAGCACTGCATGCATCCTTCAAGCTCTCCTTAAACGCTTTGGTAATCCTATCATTGCCTTTAAACTCTTCTTTCAGACTTACAGAGTGTGTGTGTGAGAGAGAGAGAGAACCACAGAGTGCACAGGCTTTAATAATGCATCTAGATAATGCTGCCTCACCACTCACACACACACACACACACACACACACAAGCACAACAAAACAGAAAGACAGTGAAAGAGTGGCAGAACAGCTTGATCTGAGCACCGCATGTCTTCAGAGGAAGCTGAATGGAGATCAGGGGCTTATAGATAAAGGGCGAATGGAAGGGGGTTGAGAAAATGAGAAAAAGATATATAGAAGGAAGGGAAAAGAATGAGAGAGAGAAAGCTGGGAAGACGGTGAGGTTGAAGAATGAGATGCTAAATAAAGACATTTATTGTGATTGTATGGTGCATTGCATGATTTGTTCTTTGGACTGTGGCTACTAGGAGTCTGCATGGCATGAGGAGAGAGGTGTGGCATAAAACAGGAAATGCATAATCTTTTCTTCTCCCTATAAAGAGCTTGATTTATGAGTTATGGGTCATCTTGATGTTCCCCAAAAAAATTATATTTATCAAAGAAATCTGATATCATCATTTCCACAAAATAATAAACAGCAAAGCTGCTGTCATCACTGACAATACGTTTTTAATTATATTTATATAATTTAAAATAAGTAGTAATGATGCTGAAAATTCAGCTTTGCCATCACAGAAATTAATATAAATGCAAAGATTTGTACTTGTGTTTTGTATAAGGATTTTTTTACTGTGATTAAAGTGACATAAGTTCTATTATTGAGATTAGTCCACTGAAAACAATCTTTAAAATGTGGTGCTATACAATGCAATTAATAACAATCAGAAACAATTATTATAGGGTTAACGACATATAAGAGAGTTAATGCTAAATAAAAGGAAAGCTTTTTTAAAAATCCAGTTTAAATGTGCCATGTTTTTATAAATGCACATTCTTTTTTATTTATGCTGGTTCCATATGGTTTTAAAAAACTTTCACATTTTCAAGAAATGTTTCAATTTAATGACAAAAAATTATTTTTTCAAGGTAAAACGTATTTATTACAAATACCATGAATTATTACGTTCACATACTGGTAAAAAATGTATAACCTGAATGCACTGTAAGTCGCTTTGGATAAAAGCGTCTGCTAAATGCATAAATTATTATTATTAATTATTAATTGAAATGATTAATTCATTAATATCTTTATGTTTTTGAGTAGTCACACCACACGATGTTTTACAACCCAAACTAACATTGTCTTGTCATAATAATAGTTAAAATATTTGATATTCTAAGATTCTTATTGACCTTGACAGACAGTCAGATCATTATATTGACATCAGCATAAAGGCCTAACTAAACTCTATGTCAGGGGTCTTCAACCTTTTTGCAGGTCAAGGACCCCTTGGTGGATGGAGAGACAGAGCGCACATAATGTTTAAAGTTAAGGGTTGCATTTAAAGCCTGGCCTATAATAAAATGTGCGTAGTATCACACTAATGTATTTACATACTTTGATAGCAAGTCCATTAAAGTCATATATATAGCTTAAAGGGGTCATATGATGCGAGTTCAATTTTTCCTTTCTCTTTGGACTGTTACAAGCTCTTGGTGCATAAAGAAGATCTGTAAAGTTGCAAAGACTAAAGTCTCAAATCCAAAGAGATATTCTTTATAAAAGTTAAGAGTCAGTCACACCTACCTAAAACGGTTCGTTCTAACACGCCCCCACATGTCTACATCACTATGTGGGAAGATTTGCATAACGCCGCCCAAATGTTCACGCAAAGAAAGAAGGCATAACTTTTATTCTCGCTGTAGTATTGTTGCTGCCGCCGTCATTTCGTGAAGGTGCTGTGTGTTTCGTTGTGAAAGCGAAACTACTTTGTTTGGTCTTCCAAAAGAGGACGATCTCTGCTTCGTCATGCCTAGAGCTGATCTGTGCTGGTCGCTGAGGAAATACATCAACTTCATGCTGTGGATCGCCGGATCGGCTTTCACCGTGGACGAAGCGGAGTCCAGCCCGGGGTCATCACATGTGGTTGCCGCAAGCCCGTTGGATGCTCCTTCGTCGAATCCGCCGCCTCTGCTCATTCTAGCCCTCCGGCCGTTCCTTACTCTAGCCCCCGGCCTCTGCTCACTGTAGGCCGCGGTGTGTCGCTGTTTCGTTGTGAAAACGAAACTACTTTGTTTGGTCTTCCAAAAGAGGACACGACTAGAAATCAGTGGTTAAGTTGTATTTACAACACTGTTCCAGAACACTTCAACCCAAATATTCAGATGTGTGCAGCACATTTTATGGAGGACCTTTTCCTGATCCTGGTAGAGTAGACTACAATGCCGGCTGTTCTGACTCACAGACTGTAAGTACGTTTTTTATATTTAAAGAGTTTTTATATTTTATATATTTAAAGCGAGTTTTTTGGGCAGTGTAGAGTAGGGCTTGTTGTTTGTCATTTCTCCGATCATAAATGCAGACATGGTTTTATGTTTAAGCGGCGTGGCGCGATGCAATGCAACGCGTAAAAAGACAGTATAAGTCATTATAATCCATAATTATGTCCCCACTGGATGCAACGAATGCCTCGTTTATAATGGGTTTTCATGTTTTTGAATCGTTGCTCCGGCCTGACAGGGCATCATCTCAGTATGGTAAGGGGCGTAACATTTCCATCACACGCTTGAGGTATTCGGCCAATCACAACGCACTGGATAGCTGGCCAATCACAGCACACCTTGCTTTTCAGACCGATGAGCTTTGTAAAAATCAACGCGTTGTTCTTGTTTGTTGTTCTTTGTTGTTGTATCATATGGTTGCTCAACATCTTATGTAGGTTTTCCTTTAATTTGTCACTCACATATATACATAAATACACTTTTAAATTTGATCAAAATTATAGAAAAAACTGTAATATTGTGAAATATTATAAAAATTTAAAATAACCATTTTCTGTTTTAGCAAATTTTAAAATGTAATTTATTCTTGTGATATTAAACATGAATTTTAAGCATCATTAGTTCAATCTTCAGTGTCACATGATCTTTCAGAAATCATACTGATATGCAGATTTTTGTGGAAACTTTCAGGATTCTTTGATGAAAGTTCAAAAGAGCATTACTTTGAAATAGAAATATTCTGTAAAAAATGTTAATGTTTTCACTGTCACTTTTGATAAATTTAAAGGGGTCACATGATGCTTTTTTAAAAGATCATTATTTTGTGTATTTGGTGTAACAGAATATGTTGACGCTTTAATGTTTAAAAAACACATTATTTTTCAAATACTGTACATTATTGTAGGTCCTCTATGCCCCGCCTCTCTCAAACGCTTCGTTTTCTACAAAGTCCCTCCTTCCGACAAGCACAGTCTGTTCTGATTGGCCAGCTGACCCAGTGCATTGTGATTGGCCGAACACCATAAGCACTCGTCGGAAATGTAACACCCCTTACCATAATCGCGAGCGTCATCTTTCAAAATAAATGTAAAGACAGAGCCCGAAATGGGAACAGAGTCGCGTGACAGACACAGTGATGAATATGTGTTTGCAGTACACAAGTCACAGTTAAGACAGCTGACTCTACTGTGATGTGACCCTGTCTCTCTCTCACACACGCGCGCGCACACACACACACACACACGATGTGCAAAACTCCGCATTTGAACGGTCAATAGCAAATACTTAAACTAATAACAAAACAGTAGCTGATTCAGAAGCGGCAGATTGTAATAGCAAAGTCAGAATGACCTCCTCTCCTAGGTTCACGAAACGGTCATCCATAAAATGCATTGCTGTTCTGTTGTAAGTAATCTTAAAGATTCCTAAATGCATCTACTCTCGGAAGGCCAAATAAAGTGCTTTTGCTTTCGCCTAGAAACACACAGCGTCTCCCTGACATGCTGCTTCAACACTAACTGCGGTTACTGAAACCACACCTTCTTTCTTTGCGTGCATTATGCAAATATTTCCACATAGTGAGGTAGATATGTGGGGGCGTGTTAGAACGAGCCATTTTAGGGGGGAGTGGCAGAGTCTTAACTTTGATAAAGAATATCTCTTTGGTTTTGAGACTTTAGTCTTTGCAACTTCAGGGATCTTATCTATGCACAATCAGCTTGTAACACTCCAAAGAGAAAGGAAAACTTGAAATCGCATCATATGACCCCTTTAATACATCCATGCTGCATAAAAGTATTCACTTCTTAAAAAAAATAAAAATTTGGTAGTGTGTATATATGACTTACTTGACAATTTTAGTTAGACTTATTTAATATTTTAAAATAGGGAGAATGAAACCTGAACTTGAACTTTAGCTTCTTAACTTTATCTTTGGTTGCATATTTGTGCATGCATGATCCCTGTTTATGCGGTTGCTAGAGTATATTCTGATGAAATCAGTACTGAATATAAACATGCTAAATATATATACTTTATGAATGCTCAGTCTCTACCTCTCCACAGCAATTTAAGGCCATATTACTGTCTTTGGATAGATGTGTACTTTTTTTAGTACAAATGTGTGTGCTGAATTTATGTGTCTGTAATTGGAGCTGTCATTTGCCCTGGGGGCTTCAGTACCTCTCATATGGAGAGCGTAATCAGATCTGTTCCTGCTGGAGATCTCCCTCTCCAAAAGCCACTTAAATGAATATTGGCACAAATCGTCCAATTTCAGCTGTTAGCAGCTTGTAAAATGCTGCTCCATGCCTGAAAGCTAGATGTTCTATGATAAACGTCTGTGTTATCGTGTAGGGCATGCAAGATCACAGTCACATGTTTTAAGCTTTAGTTTATGTGCTTGTACCCATTATTTAGTCCTAATGAGCATATCATCATTATCAGGTTTTAAGCAGGGGCAGACATATAAGCACCGTCTGTTTTGATAAGTTTACGATTACAAGGCATCAAGATTTCACAGTATTCAGCTGCTCCTAAAAATAACAGCATAAATAAATGATGGCCCTTTCCGAAGCCTGCCGGATCTCCTGCCTGATTTCTGCCCCCTCGGTTTTTACTACATATACTAATTATTATTATTACAGGCATGTTTTGTAATGTTTGCACCTGAACAGTAAAAATAAATCAAGTATGCATCAATCAAATGAATGAAGTTTGAGAAAACGTGCTGCGGGTCTTGCACAATAGCCGTATTTGTACTGAATGCACTAATATACCCAACTTCCCTTATGAATCATCCAGGCTACACTAAATGAAACCTGAACCTTTTGTGCTTGCTATAACTAATGATGTGAAATGTAAAAATATATAGGCTAGACTTTATATTAATATGCATTTTTGTATAATCTCTTAAAGGAAACAATGAATTCATCTCTCACTCAAATAAACAAGGTTATCTGGCATTCCCTGAAATGCTGTAAGAAGATAATATAATAATACTGCCTGTGGGGAGAGTCGCTCTATCAGACAACTAGGAAAGACAACAGAAACGCTATTATTGCTGTTTTTAACCAGTTTTTCATGGTTCTTTTACAGACACAAGCCATGGAATGAGCGCCCACAAAACGGCTTCTGTAAAAAACCAATCATATTTCTGTTCAGTTGTGGCTCTATCTAATGAACACCCACTCTCTGTCACTTGATGGCAATCTAAAAGACATCTCTAAAAAGCTGATAATGAGATGAAAGTGTCATTGACTTAATTCCCTTTAATCTGTCAAATTCACCTCTGTCCCGTCAGAGACGCGCCTTCACCTTCATAACGTTTAATGAACAACATTTGCATGCTCTATATCACTCACCTTACACGAAGAGTAACATTTTCATGAGCTATCCATCGCCTTGCGCCGACAGAAGAGACATTGGGCCGGTATATAAATAAAGTGAAGGCGGGTTAGACCGATGGGAGTTTCACAGAGACAGTTTAAGCGTTTAATCTGCTTTCAGCTCTCTCTCTCTCTCTCTCTCTCTCCTACCTTTGTCAGCACGCTTACTGCCTTTTTACACACAATATTTGACAATATTGTCAAAGTATCAATGCACATATTAAAAAGAGGGACAAAAATAAAAATAATTATATAAGTATTTTTAATTAATTTAATTGTTTTGAATAATTGTGTATTATTTAATTTTTTTAATTATTATTATGAGACATTAAAGTGACATACTACATTATGAACGCTGTTGCTGACATGCACAGGCAGATCTTGCATATGATTAATATGATACATGATGATGAGATCCCTTCTTGAGTAGCTCATGCAATTTATATATTTTTTTCACAGTAAAAAAAGAAGAAGAAGATATCTGCCTTTTTTGGTATGTTTGCATACATTAATAATCGCAAAGCTACAAAACTTAACTTTACAAGTTATACTGTTGAGAAATATGCAATAAGAAATAATGGTCTGTAATGGATTAATTTTTTTACCAATTTAATTTGTGAAAGGACAGTGAACGTATTCACTAATTAAACAAAAATAATATTTAGCCAATTCATACCGTTAAACCTTGCGAAGACCTCATAACCACCTCGACGACCATCAGCACAAGACCACGGGAACCAGACGAGTCCTCTGCACAATCTGACCTGTGTTGCAGCCTGGAATTGAACCACGCCTTGCTGGTTGCATCTGGCCAGAGGAGAGCCTGGTCTCTCCCAAGGTTTTTTTTCTCCATTTCTGTCACTGATGGAGTTTTGGTTCCTTGCCACTGTCGCCTTTGGCTTGCTTAGTTGGGGACGCTTGACTGATTGCACAGACACTTTTGGAAGAGAGCTGAACTGGATGATGAAATCACTGAATCATCAATGAACTGACTTTAGCTGGAAATATGACTCTGTCATCGTCTTGCATTATTGACAAACTACTTTCCTGTTTGACACTGTAAAGCTGCTTTGACACAACCAGTATTATATAAAGCACTATACAAACAACAACAATTTTTTTTTAATTTTTCTTTTATTCATTGAAGTGAGTAAAAAAAAAAAAAACAACAACACACACATTCATTTTTTTTATTTATTTATTTATTTATTTATTTGAGACAAACATTCTTGACTATACCTGTGCTGCATCTGATTTCATAATTTTTATGACCAAAACTAAACTCTCCCTCTGAGATGAATAAAGTTATACTATTGTACCGCATTGTTTTGTAATGCCTTTGTGTCATAGCTAAGTATGACCCATACGCTTTGTATAACATACAGTCCACCAGATGGCGCTGTGCTCACTTCAAGCCCAGAGCGAGATGAAGAGAAGCAGAAATGAAATCGTGTGAGAAGAGAGAGCTGTCATGAAGTAGAAAAGCTGGGGTTGAAAGGGACTGGACTGCGTGCCCACGATCACACTACACTGAGGTATTTCTAATAAATACACATGACAGAGAACACGCGTGTTGTGCGCACGGGAACAGCCTCATCTTGCTATTATGGGCTCAGAGAAGAACTCTGACAACGAAACTAGACAACGGAACTCTAGCAGCTAATGAGCTAACTGTAAACAAACCTATCCGAGTAGAGTAAACCGTATAATTTGAACGATAAAAATAACGAAGGGAGTTTACATAATATATATAAGTATTTCAGCTATATCTAGTCCGGCTTTTCTGGTTGTATATCATTGTGTTATCAGCAGATTATGGGAGTGGGCCTGTGTTCAAAACTCATGCAACTAGACTTGCTGCATTGTGCATTAATCACGATACAAAGGGCTGATGTAATTTACAAAAATTAATTATGGCAAATTCCTTTAGAAATGTAGATGATGTAAATAAACACACTTGTAGGTTTGACTGTTAGTGAAAGCACTGATGAAATCCTAGTCGGGTGATTTGTCTGTAAAGTTCATATCAGTCATTATATAAAAACAATCATAATAGCTAGACAGTCAGTCAAATGCATGGAAGAAGAAGAAGCTGTGTTAATCATGATTGTGAAGGGGTGGTGTGCTCTGCAGGTAGAGTCTCTGGAGGCAGGAGGGAGAGGTCAGGATGGCAGGTGTTGGGGCGAGTGCCACGGCTAACCCTGCCTGTAAGATCATGACCTTCAGACCTACCATGGAGGAGTTTAAGGACTTCAACCAGTACCTGGTTTATATGGAGTCTCAGGGAGCGCAACGTGCAGGACTGGCCAAGGTTGGTATGTGTATGGATGTGATTGATAGGAAAAGTGTATGTTGTACATATAATAATAAAAGTCCAAAACGTCTAAAATCTAAATGCACAATTTGAGTTCATTGGATGTTTGTTTTTGTGTTTAGTCAGTGAGGGCAATACAAAAGAGAGATGGGCATTTTACGTTCTTTTTTTAATATATAATAGTGTGTAGTCCTCTAACTTTATATCTCAGTTGTGGACTATACAGTGCAAATAAAATGTTAGATCTTAATTCTTTCCACAGGTCATTCCACCCAAGGACTGGAAGCCACGGCGCAATTACGATGATATTGATGATTTCGTCATCCAAGCACCTATTCAGCAGATGGTGGCTGGGCAATCAGGACTCTTCACCCAGTACAACATCCAGAAGAAACCTCTCACTGTGCAAGAGTTCCGCAGACTGGCCAACAGTGACATGTAAGTGACAAACACCGAAGAAGTGCCACATATCTGGGTTCAAAGTAGCAGGCTTTTATTCTACTCTAATGGCATTTAAACACAGCATGTGCATGCAGTATATGTTCTCTTCTTCTTTTTACAGTACTCCGCCATAACCTACAGTCGAGGTTATTATTTCACATTACCCAGAAATCAAAGCAGTGCATAAAGGACAGCGGATTTATGAACTAAATAAACAAAATAGTTGTGAAATATATTATTTGAAAAAATATTTAAATTGGAATAGTTTTGCTTAAAATAAATTTCAAACAATGGCATGCAGTTCACAAACGCCTCTGGTTTCTTCCTTGACGTATGCAGTGTTATATTCTGGACTTCTATTGCACACTGCAATAAGATTCCTTTAAATGATGGATTGACCTATATTCGTTAAGGCCATCTGGAGATGTGTGATTTACCTACTCAGGTACTGCACACCTCGCTACCTGAACTATGAAGATCTGGAGAGGAAGTACTGGAAGAATCTGACGTTCGTCTCACCCATCTATGGTGCTGATGTGAGCGGCACGCTCTATGATGAGGTGAGGATGCAGGCGGAGCACAGCTCTTGTCCTCTGAACATCCAGCGTAACATACCTCAAATGGAATGTGAAAGGCGTGTATTTTATGACAAAGGATAACACAGTGAAATAACGAGAGCATGTAAGCAGGAGATGGCTGAGATCGTGTTTGCCCTTCTTATTTCAGGACATCGAAGAGTGGAACATCGGGCACTTGAACTCAATCTTGGATGTGATTGAGGAGGATTGTGGAGTGTCCATTCAGGGTGTAAACACACCCTATCTGTACTTTGGAATGTGGAAGACCAGCTTCTCCTGGCACACGGAGGACATGGACCTCTACAGCATTAACTACCTGCACTTTGGGGAGCCCAAATCCTGGTAGGGTTTGCTGTGGTTTCCTGTGTTTCTTGAGTATGCAACGATCTTCTTTCTACCTCTGAGGACCTGGAATTCTGCCACTTTTTAAAATTAATAAATAAATATACCAATTTCACAGGTATGCCATCCCTCCAGAACATGGGAAGAGATTGGAGCGTCTTGCTATAGGTAAAAACTTACAGTAGTCGTTTAAAGGAATGTGCAGTATATTGACGTCTTAATATCATTTGTTTAATATTTTTGCATACTTGCTTGTATACAAAATATCTATGACCATGCATCCTCTTTTTCTGGCCAGGATTTCTAAACTGCCTAAAATGTCCAGGTTTTGGCTTTTTTTTTTTTCTGTGTTTTTTTTTCATACTTGCTGAGGGTAATGATGACTGATAAGTAGTTGAACCAATAGCGTGCAGGCATTGTATATAATCATCCAGTTGTGGAGTTCGGAAAGGTGGGAACTACAGAGAACGGTCAATGCAATGCATATATGTGCACATATATTGTATGATGAATTTTATAGGAAAACAAAGCCAAAACCCTGACATTTTGGGCAATTTAAAAATACCGTCCAGAACATGTCCGGGAAAAAGAGGACATATGGTCACCCTAAGTATATCTAGCTAAGCTACATATCATTATTTCCTTTGTGTTGTACTGGGTGTGATAAATGTCTTTGTCTTTAGGTTTCTTTCCTAACAGCTTTAAAAGCTGTGAGGCCTTCATGAGACACAAGATGACTCTGATATCCCCCTCTGTACTAAAGAAATACAGCATACCATTTGACAAGGCAATCCACAGTCTTTTAGAATCAATTTTCTAAACTATTTTAGTTTTATGAATAATGTTGCAGTGTCTCAGTTCTCCTTGAATGTATTCACAATAAACCGATATATTATTACAGATAACACAGGAAGCGGGGGAGTTTATGATCACATTTCCATATGGTTACCACGCTGGCTTCAACCACGGCTTTAACTGTGCTGAATCCACCAATTTCGCAAGTATCCGGTGGATCAATTATGGAAAAGTTGCTACGCAGGTACTAAGCTGATGCTGATGTAAATCTGGCGCCTTTATGTTGCCGGCATCTACAGCTGGTGAACATTTGACACTCTTTTGTTTTTGTTTTTTTTGTGGGAAATCTTGCAGTGTACATGCAGTAAGGACATGGTGAAGATCTCCATGGATCCGTTTGTCAGACGATTCCAGCCGGATCGCTATCAGGCTTGGACACAAGGCAAAGACTCATGTCCATTGGATCACACTCTGGCCACACCCAGCACCACACCAGAGCTGCAGAGCTGGCTTCAGAGGCGGCGCAGGAAAGCGCCCTCCACCACAAGGTGTTAGCATGGTTTAACTATGGTCAGTTTCCTCTTTCAGGTCAACTGCTGTCATGGAGGAGCAACAGTGTGAAGAGAAATTTGCTGAGCAACTTGACATTTCAGTCTATTTAAGATCCTTCACCTTCTCTGCTTTAGTAGAGAGCCAAAGACAGAAAGAACAGATGTTTGGAGACTGGAGACACAAAAGGAATTTGTGGCTTCTCGCAAATATTTTTCTCAGAATTGTGTGAAAGAAACTCTGTTGCATGTTAAAAAGGCAGAATTGCAAGATGTAAACTCACCAATATGACTTATATGTTGTGAGATATAAGCTCGCAAAATACTTTTTGTCTGAACTGGACTTAATAACACTCAGTTTCTAGTTTATGTCTCACGATTTCTCAGAATTGTGAGATGTTAACTCACAAATGCGAGATAAAAAAAGTCGCAATTACCTTTTTTATTTTTTTTATTCTGAAACAGGCTTCCATAGTTTACTGGCAGGCTTAGTTCACAATCTTGGACAGTGCGTGATTCATCTTTTTGTGTCAACAGTCTCCATTATCCACGCACATCCTCCAAACGACTGAAGACTGTGGACACTGCGCCAGTGAAGGGGGGCAGTCGGAGGAGTAGAGGGGCAGCTTTAACATCAAACGACAAGGATAAGGAAGACCCAATGAAACACCAGAAAGAATCACAGAACTCAGGCCAATTAAAAGGCTAGTATCAGTGTTATTTTTGTAAGCTCACAATACATTCCACAAATAAGCACTGCTGCAAATAAGCATTTGCATTTGTTCTCTGATTCAGAAATACATGTAAATGCATTTTCAGATTTATTTTATGTGGCATTAATTCTCAAATGTAATCTGTAATTTGATAACACACTCACATTAAGGACAGATACCATTTTTGTTAAGCCATATCAATATCAGACTGCATTTTATTTTAAATAAGTCCCAGTTCATCAGAGCACTGCATTATTGCTGAATGCAAATGAACACTTGTGATATATTTCAGTTTGATAGAATTTTTGACTGGCCTGTCAGAAAAATTACAAAATAATTCTCTGCATAAATTCAAATAAAATGCACACTACTGTTAAGGCCAGTATAATATATTTTTTAAGGAAGTTAAAACTATTATTAAGCAGCGATGGATTTGATTGATTGAAGTGACAGTAAACACATTTATAATTTTACAAAAGATTTATATTTCAAATAAATTCTGAGAGAATCCTGAAAAACCACAAAAATATTAAGCAGCGGCACAAATGTTTTCAACACTGATAATAATAATAATAAGTGTCAAGAGGACCAAATCAGCTTATTAGAATGATTTATGGCTGCTGAAAATTAAGCTTTGCCAACACCGGAATAAATAACATTTTAAAGTATGTTAAATAGCAAAACAGTTATTTTAAATTGTAATAATATTTCACAGTATTACTGTTTTACTGTATTTTTGGTCACATATCCTTGGGGAGCATAAGCATTAAAAATCAGAAATGTATGTGCAATACTTATGTGTGTTTATATCTCAGAAAACCTGTTTTATTGTTTCATGACACTTGTTTTGTCTTATTAGGGCTCTCTGGTCCATGTCGGCAAATGTGTGTTGTTAAAGTAACAAGAGTGGAGAATGACTTGCTTGCCCACTCCTCTAGACAAGTCAAAGATGCTTCCCCTGAGCGACTCTCGACCCCTGCCACATCCAGGCAGAGTGAACCCGATCCAGGTCACTCAAGCTCCCAGACGTCTTCACATTTCTATGAATGTCAAGTATCCACAAACGCAAGCTATACCGCACGGCCTGGACCTGAACCAACCTCAGAGAGTGACGTCACTGTGGATGTGACTCTGGACTCAGAAAGAACTACTGAAAGTCCTGATCAAACACTAAACTGTGAATCTGTCCCAGAAACAAGTGCTCCTTCTATTCCTGTCACCCATTCGTCGAGACTTAACTCCACTGGTGCTGCGTTTTTATTTTCGGAAGCTGATTCCCAACAAGCTAAAATTGAAACCGAAGAGGCAGTCACCGATATCTTGGCTGAAAGCAGCATCGATTGCGGCACATCAGCACTTTACGAGGAGCAAAGCTCGATCCGTCTAGACTCGGCTCAGGATTCAGAAACCTCAGAGAACAGAACAAACCCTGAAATCCAGACTACTCAGTTTTGTGAGATGCCTCTTCTAATGCCTGAGCTCACAGAAGAGAGAGTCAATCCTCAATCCCTCGCACCTGAAATGCCCTCGCTGACTCTCGCTGTCCGACCCGACACTACAAATCACAGACCTCACAGTCCGAACAACAGTGCACCTGTTCTCCATCGGGAAAAATCACACTCGCCTCCTGTTATAACAGATGATGTGGCGACTTGTTCTGAAAGAGCTTGTCACGACTGGCCCTTCGTTGCATCCCAAGAAGACGTAAACCAAACACAAAACTCAATCTCAGACAGCTTTATAGCAAAACCATTATCTCCTTCCTTGGTTCAGGAATGGGAGTCCAAACAGGAAGGACATGAACACACATGCCCATACACAGACCAGAACACTCGAAATGAGTCCATTTCGCAGTTTAAAATCACCACTCACGGTATTTTGCAATGTTCTACTGTAGCAGACATGGATTTAATGGACGCTCGAGACTCTGAAATGACCGATAACTCGGTAGAAAGAAGTCTTGAAGAGCAGTCAAGCTCTCTCACATCCTTCCAGGGCTCCTTCATGGAGTCCAAAACCTTCACCATTTGGAACAACCTCAGCTCCCAGAATCCCGCAGTGCTCATTGAGAGCTTGCAGCCCGAGCTGGTAGTGGGTCTTACCACAGGTGGGAGCAGTCTCACAAACTATGCTCATGACTCGCTGCCCTACACCATGTGGTCCGAATCGGGGTGCCAACAAGATAAGTTCCCTGATTCCCCAAACTCTTCATCATGCACTCAGACATGGACCAACCTGGAGCCCATTCCCATGCAGTGCTCTGGTGCAGACATGGCTCCAAATGCACCCCCAGATCTGAAGCAGCAGAGCGTGGAGTTGGAACCAGTTAAAGCTTGTGTGCTCGGTGAGCAGGCAGGCTCTCAGGAACCTCAGGAGGAAGAGTTCAAAGGTCAGGAGTATTACGAATGTGCGAAGTCAGAGCATGATGGGTCTGTGAGCGACTCTGATTCGTGTGAATCAGGAGATAAAGGTGCTGACAGCAGCAGTGAATCCAGTGAAGAGAATGCCATGAGTGACCCTGAGTATGTGGAAACGGGCCTGGAGCCTGGGGAAGTCTGTACAGTGAGTTCTGGTGCTACACCATGACAAGCAGTACATCCTATTCTATATAGTTCTGAACTTCCGTCACAATCAACATTTGACCGGGGTGACAAGACATTTTGCTGATCACTTGGTTTCCATTTTAATCATCTGATACTGGATGAACTTGTCTGCAGTAAAATCTAATTTTTTCCCTGAATGTTAAATAACAAATGTGTTCTGATTGGCTTTTGTTTTGCTATGTAATTGTTCTTTTAGATAAACAAAACTTAACTAAACCTAAAATAAATTTTGCAAAAAAAATTTAAGCAACTCAAATCACATATGCAAAAAAACAGACACCTGGTGGGCTTAAAAACATGTTTTTTTTTTTGTAATTTCACTTAATTTTCATATTTATTGTTTTGTTTTTTTATTGTTTATGTATATTTTGTTATTTATGTTATGTTTATTTATATTTAATCTATAGAAAGTTCAAACAGAACAATACAATTTCTTTTGTAACAATGTGAGTCTTTACTGTGACTTGATCAGTTTAATGCATCCTTGCTGAATAAAAGTATCAATTCAATTTTTTTCAGTCTTACTGACCACAAACTTTTGAATGGTATTGTATATTAATTTACACCTGTTGTGAATCCAGTGAAAATTTCTTTGCACTACACCTAAATCAGAGCACTCACATAATTGCTGTTCACACCTTAACACCTTGTTAACGAAGCTTAACGACGCCAAAACATTAATAAATGTTCACACACTATATATATATGAAGAGTTTATTTGCAAAAACAGATAACTCCGTTTTTTAAAAATGTCAAAAATCATGTTTTTTATTATGTTATCATTTTTTTTTTTATTGTGTTAGCTGTATTTTTTAGTTATTTTGTACCTAATCAAAATAACTTAACTGCAGCTTGATTGAGATTAATTGGAATGCACAATGAAAAAACACGAGTTTATCTGTTTCTGCAAATTAACTCTTCATATACACACACTCATGCACAATGAAGGTTGCAACAGTATTTTATATTTTTGGAAAGTGTATTTGTCTCACTGACCGCCTCTTTGTCTCTCTTATTTTTGCTCTCGCAGTATCATACGCAAACTGTTAAGAAGACAACCAAGAGCTGGCGTCACCCCCTCAGAAAGCCCACGGCAAGAGCAGTGCCAAGTGCTGTGAAACAGCAGGCTGCCAGCGATGATGGTGAATGTTTAACCGCTCTCATTTTATTATGTGCAATAAACGTACAATTAGGAATAGGTATTATAAGAAGAATGTACACATGCAGACTGACATAGTTGGCTCTTGTGTCCTGCTGTTTTTCAGTGTCTCAAACCGTGCGCATATGCGCTTTTAAGAAGCTGCGTCAAGTTATAATTAATCATACATGACGGCCTTAGAGTAAATATTTATTTGTGTGTGTGACTCAGAGACTATAGAGGAGTGTGCGACTAATGAAGAGGAGCCGGAAACTGAGGAATGGGCAAAGCCTTTAGTGCATCTGTGGCAACACCGAAAAGCTCATCTTCAGTATGAACGAGAGTACAACACGACTGCAGCTAAAAGCGCTCCACACTGTGCTGTCTGCACCCTTTTTATGCCATACTGTCAGGTAACTGATGTAGACCGATACTAGGTACTGATTTGTGCATATGTGCTTTGTGACACACACATAATTCAGACTCTTGTTTTTGCTCTCACAGCCTGATAATTTAGATGAGAGAAGGCACGATGTCTTGACGAGTACTGCCACAGAGTCTCAGGCATCATGTACTCAGGAGGCGAGCTTGAGATCACGACCTCTGATCCCTGAAATTTGCTTTGCGTACCAGGAGGGCCCATGTCCCTTGAACACACTGCTGGAGGAGGATGGATCCAGTCCTCTTGTGGCCTGCAGTAGCTGCTGTGTTCAAGTTCATGCCAGTACGTCACTGAGATCTCTCAACAACACACATAACACATGAAAAAAACCCCAAATATGATGATTGCTTGGCAGTGGACCCCCTTTATAAAATATTACTAAAAACTGAATATTAAATTACAATACCATTCAAACATTTTTAATGATTTTTAAAGAAGTCTTTTATTTATTAACGCTCTGCTTAATACTTTTGTGGTGATCTTTTTTTTTTTTTTCAAGATTCTTAAAATTCAAAAAATTCAAAAGAACAGAACTTATTCAAAACAGAAATATTCTGTAATAATGTAAAAGTCATTACTCTCACTTTTGATCAATTTAATACATCCTTGCTAAATAAAGTGTTAATTTCTTTAAAAAAAGAAAAATTCAAACATAAGTAAATATATTTTAATATATTATTGAGTTATACATATTAATGATTTAATAATTATAAAATAGTATTTTCCTGTATAAAGAACCATTTGTACTATATGACAAAAATATTGGTCATTTATTTACTTTTTCTTTTTTTGTTTGACTATGATTTAAACCTAAATTAATTGCTAAATTAAATAATTGGTTTCTGAATTGCCATTGTACGTAAGCTAATTATTATAATATTTGAAAAGCTTTACTTTGTATTAAATAGACGATAATCTTTTTCTGCTCACTTACCATGTTAGATGTATAAGCTGGAGGGGAAACAATTTTATTTATTTTTTTGTATCATGCTTTTTACAATAAATATTGTTACAAATCAATTTAAAAATAGGCCTGTTAATATAATAAAATAGTTGCAACTAATCTCATGATTTCTGACCTTTTAGAAAGCATAGTTGAGTAAATGTGTTGATACATTTAAAAATTAATATCTTAAGTAAATGCACAAAAAACAGCTTGGTGTAATAGAGAATATAACAGTTTGGTTTGATTGGTCCACAGGTTGCTACGGTGTTGCTGCTCATGATGTCGGCCCGGTGTGGACATGTGACCGATGTGTGAGCGGAGACCTGGCAGCTGTACGTAATAATTCAAACATTCGCTGTTTTCTGCATCAGCATTATTTATGGACTACTTACATGTTTGCTTGTGTCTGTTTGTGTGTTATATACCAGGGATGCTCTTTGTGTAACCTGAGGGGAGGTGCGTTAAAAAGAACCTCAGATGACAGGTAATCTCCTGATTGAGTATGTTTTTTTTTTTTTTAACACATTCTCTGGTATTTCAAATAAGAGTTCGGTCAGGCTCGTGTTCTTAGTAATAGTGAATGCTTCAAGTGGTTCATATATTATGCATTCTATAGATGGGCGCATGTGATGTGTGCTGTGGGTCTCCCTGAGGTGAAGTTCATTGATGTGGTGAAGAGAGCTCCTATTGACATCAGTGCTATACCTGTTCAGAGATATAAACTGGTGAGTAATAAACACACACACACACACTCACACTCGTAGACAGTAGAAATTGCAAAACAAGTGCAAAAGTCTTAACAGCCCATCGAAGCTGAGCAATTTAATGTCTTTTGACACAGTACTAAAAGTAGTACTAAAGTACTAAAGCTTTAGTTTTAGTACTTTGAAGTACTAAAACTAAAATGAATGTGTCTTACACTGCTCTTTTATCATCTGTGTACTCTATCGTTCTCTCTCTCTCTCTGTAGAAGTGTATATATTGCCGGAATAGGATAAAGAGGCTGTCTGGCGCGTGTATTCAGTGCTCATGTGGTCGTTGCCCAACCTCTTTCCATGTCACCTGTGCACACGCAGCTGGAGTTCCCATGGAGCCTGATGATTGGCCGTATGTGGTTTTCATCACCTGTCACAGGCACCAGTCACGGAGCTCCAGTGCTGTGCGTATATTTTAATAAGTTGCATTTAACCATCAAACAAAAAACAAGAACACCATATCATACTCTATGAATAGATTTTTTTCAAAATAGTTTTTTCAAAAAAGGCTTGTTTTAAAAAAAAATTACAAATAAAAAAAATATTAAAATTGATTTTGATTGTGTTTTTTTTTTCAGGGTTATACCATTTGACATTTGAAAACCTTGCAATGTCATAAAAGTCTCATAAAGACACTTACTGACCTTGACATAGACTACAGTCATGGGATTCTACAGGGGTCCTGACTTTGCTATGCATTTCTGTTTTATGGTGGTCTCGTCACGTGACAAACTGACTTACATTATAGTTAGTTACTGTGATTTAATTTGAAAGATTTTGTCTTTTTAAAAAATTATACCAAACTTCTTGTACTACCCTTCAAAAGTTTGAGGTAGGTAAGATTTTAAAAATGTTTTTAAAGAAAGAATTATCTAATGCTCATCAAGGTTGCATTAACTTACAAAAAAAAATAAAAAAATAAATATTGTGAAATATTAAAATAACTTTTCTATTTGAATATATTTTAAAATGTAGTTTATTCCAGTATTCTCACAGCTGAATTTTCAGCATCATTACTCCAGTCTTCAGTGTCACATGATCTGTCAGAAATCCTTCTAATATGCTGATTTACTGCTCAAGAAACATTTGTTGAAAACATAATATTTTTGTGGAAATTGCAATTACATTTTTTTTTTCAGGATTATTTGCTGAATAGAAAGTCTTCACGGTCACTTAAAAAAAATCTTGCTGACCCTAAACTTTTGAACAGTAGTGTAAGCACAACTTTTTGACTTTAATAAACATCTGAAAACTTTGAAAAGTGGCATGTCAATGACTATATGAATTGCATGTAATTTAGTTTTTCAATTAATACAAATCCAGACAGAGAAAATGTCATACAATTGACCCATTATCATCAACATTTTTTTCTCCCCCCAGAAATTGAAAGTTAGCAAAAGTGAATTAGAAGTGGGCCAGACGGTGATCTCCAAACACAAAAATCTTCGTTACTACAGCTCACGTGTTACGCAGGTCACGGCCCAAACATTCTATGAGGTCATGTTCGATGATGGCTCATTCAGCAATGATACATTCCCTGAAGACATTGTGGTGAGTGTTTCTATCACTGCAAGCCATTAGTTGTTCTAATGAATATCCTGTGGCGTGTTTGCAGTAAACTGAAGCATGAAAACGTCATACAAAAAATACACTATATGCTTACAAAGTTGTCAGCCTCTTATTTTTCACAAAGTTCGGTGTATATAAGCACTATGTTTTTAGTTTGGCATTCGGACATCTGAGAGAAATCTGTTTTTTTTTACCCCGCAGAGCAGAGATTGTTCCCAGCTTGGGCCTCCTGAAATGGGGGATGCTGTTCAGGTGAAGTGGCCCGATGGACTTTTTTATGGAGCCAAGTACCTTGGCTCTAACACTTCATATATGTACCAGGTAAACACACACTCATAATCATATTCTCTCAAGTACTGCTGCTTTACTGCTACCCTAATAATCAGCCATGGTGTGTCCTGTGTTCTTGTTTGTAGGTGGAATTTGAAGATGGATCCCAAGTATTGGCGAAGAGAGAGGACATTTACACACTGGATGAAGACCTGCCCAAAAAGGTCAAAGGTCGTTTGGTGAGTTCTCACTTCCCGAACTTTCTTTAAAAGGCTCATTCACCCAAAAATGAAAACTCTTGTCATCGTTTATTCACTCTTACGCCATTCCAAATCAATAAGACTCTTTGTCTTCAGAACACAAATAAAGATATTTTTATATTTCTCTTCAGAATTTTTTGTATTCTCTTCAGAAGACTTGGATTAAACCGCTCGATTCATGAGAAGAACTCGTACGACTTTTTGAAGCTTGAAAATTGTGATTTCTTGGTCTTTCAATGGACAAAAATGATGAGAAAATATAAAAAATACCTTTACTTGTGTTCCGAAGATGAATGAAAGACGTTTGGAACGATATGAGGTTAAGGAAAAGATTGTTTTAGTTTTAGGTGAACTACCACTTTAATACCTTCTACTCAAAATATTATATATGTTGGTTGAATGCGACTGCGGTCGGCGAATACTTGACCTTTTGTGGGTTTCTTCAAGAGTGTTGTTTTGTATATGTGTGCTTTGCAGTCCACGGCGTCCAGCATGCGTTTCCAGGATGCGTTCTTCACCACACAAGGTGAAAGGAAAAGGCGACGCACACCGAATTCTCGCTTCCAGACGGATTATATCGCACATATAAGCCCTCGAACCTTCGCCAGGATCTCAGAGACACACAGTAAAGCCAACTAATGGAGGAATGCAGAGCCCTTAAATAACAAGGGAGGTTTGAAGATTGTACATCAGCGAGATCATGATTTTTAAAAGTGACAGAAATACTGTGGTCTCGTATGTCAGGGACAAGAATGTTTTTCTAAATTAGAAGATTTTCCTGTTATATTTCAGAGGTAAATGATTTGTCTTGTGTCATGCACCATTCCTAGTCACTGACACTATTAGCATTGTGCTTAAAATGGTATAAATGCCAAATAAAAAAAAGTTGCTACTGATGTCCAGCAAAGCACATATCACCTTTTACTTTAAATCTCCATATATGTCAGGGACAAGAATGTTTTTCTAAATTAGAAGATTTTCCTGTGATATTTCAGAGGTAAATGATTTGTCTTGTGTCATGCACCATTCCTAGTCACTGACACTATTAGCATTGTGCTTAAAATGGTATAAATGCCAAATAAAAAAAAGTTGCTACTGATGTCCAGCAAAGCACATATCACCTTTTACTTTAAATCTCCATCTTTTTATTTATTTGGGCATTTATTTTTTCTTTTCTATGTGGTGCTTACAGCTGTTGAAAAGATTAAAGAGATGTTTGCTTTGTAATCTGTGCCTTGACCTCAGTTGATGAAATGCTTTACACTTTATTTTTTATTTATATAGCTGATATGGATATATGCAAATATACTGAATATAGCTCACAATATCAATAGGATAGGCTTTTTTTTTTGATGATTTTGCATGATCGGGTGCCAGATGTGGTCTTTGAGTCAACAATTCACTGATTACTGAACTGGGTGTTTCAACCAATGAGTGAGCTGATACCAGCGGAAAGGGGTTGCCCTGGAATGATATAAGAAAAAGTTACTTTAATATACAGATTACGAATAAAATATTTACAACTTGATTGTATATTATTAACGTGCATGTTAATAAAGAGTTAGTTTTATAAACAACATTTTTATTAAAATTCGCAAATGCCTCTTTCAGCCAAAATATATTTTTTTGGTTTTTAATGTAAACTGTATTTATGCTCCATTATAGATATACAATATTATTATATAATAATATTTATAATATCTTTGTTTTCTTTTTATTTATTATACAATTAACAAAAGCAAAAAAAGGCCTCTAACACTAGCTTGCTCTATTCTTTTTCTATTCAGATTTGTTTTTATTTATTATATGATTAAAAAAAAAACTTGCTTTGTGTACTGCATTAAGCTAACTGAGACTTATAGCACTTGCATATCATTGCACGGTAATAAAATATGACAAGAACAGTGTCAGAACAAATTCATCTTGATAATGTCAGATGACGCTTAAGCAAAACATGGTCAGGTCAAATTGTCTATATTGTGTATATGATTATATATATTTATCAATATTATTTATAATATTAATGTGATTTAATATTAATAATAATTAATTACATAATTTAATTACATTATTACAATTTAAAAGAACATTTTTAGAGTTTGTGGTGGTGCCCCGTCGGGACTCCAAGGATGTGTTTATCCTTGGGGAAACTGATGATATTCTGTTAAGAGTGTGCTAGAACCTTTGTTCACAGTTTCTGATTGTTAAACTGTACGATTCATGCATAATTATCATTTCAAACCTATCTTCCCAAGGTTCCTATGCACACGCACACACTCACAGCAGTTTCTCATCAGAATGCTGACTTCTCTTGGTGCCGTGCCATGACTTCACTCACTTCTTTAGGTGGCTCAGGTTCTACTTCTTGTCTAATGATGAACTGTTGGAGATTTTGGCTCAGACGCGGAACCCTCAGGCTGTGCAGCCTCATCTGAGGAAGTGTTTTGATGCAATATCCCAGCTGGAGTTCACCCTGCTTACCCCTGGAGAGGGCGAGACTGGTGACAAAATACAGTATACCAATGACATCTTAACCATGGTGTCACCTGAAGGAGAAAAGGTGAATTTTCTTCTTTTCTTTTCGTATAAGACAAATTCAATACCAATAGGGTCAGTGTACCTTTGGCTACTTTGTTTGGTAACACTTTATTTTAAGGACCAGTTCTCACTATTAACTAATTGCTTATTAGCATGCTTATTACTAGCATATTGGCTGTTTATCAGTACTAATAAAGTTCATATTAATGAATGATTCTGCATGAGCATATTTTCGATCTCCATACCTAAACTTAACAACTACCTTACTAACTATTAATAAGCAGCAAATTAAGAGTTTGTTCAGGGAAAACTGTTAATAGTGAATAGTGAATATGTGCTCCCTAAGTGTTACATTTGTTTTCTCATTTTTGTATTAAAAAAAAATCTAGACCGTTCTGGTCAGTGAACATTCTGACCATTTAATTTCCTGTTTGGAAAGGAATAGCACGTCAGAAAAAGACAGCTCATTTTTTTGCATTAGATTTTTAGTTTTCCTTTATTATGTACAAATCAGTTTATGGCTTAAATATTTAATTTGCACGTGTGGGCAGCACTGAACCGCCCAATCTTCTGTACAGCATTAATTCATAAATAGTTGATATAACACAGCCAATGTCTTTGTACTTTAATAAAATATTGTTGCAAACCAAATACTGTTTACTGCACATGTCATATGAAGCAGAAATGTGTATAATGTGTAATAATCAGTGCTGTTTTTTATTTTATATATATATATATATGTGTGTGTAATAACATTAAATATGATTTTCAAATAGGTCCTACCTGTGTTTCCATTTTCCATAGATAAATGTCATTTTGGATCAAAAAAGTGAAATGTTTGGGAATTACTGTCCCCCCCAAATGAAATGGTCAAAATGTACACCAATGCTATAAATAACATTATAAATGACAAGTGAACAATTGATTCATTTTTACATGATGAAAATGAGAAAACAAAAATGAGAAAACTAATTATTTGAAGGTACATGGACCAAATAGCAAGGATTTATAAAATAAAAGAGGATCATGTTAAAAATATGTATGTGTGTGTCTGTGCTGTAGGTGGCACTGGGGAAAGGCCTGAAGGCTCGTGGAAATGTAGAGGCCTGTTTGGGGAAGGTGGAGAAGACCATTTTTTCCTCTCGTAGGAGACTTAATAAAGCTGCAATTGCTGACTACCAGAGCAAACCCAGAGTGGAGTGTATTGTGGCTGGGCATCCCTCACAGGTTTGTGCTTGTCTAGGTGAGATTGTTTATGTGCGTCTCTGAGTGTGAGCGATTGTCACCTGTGCTTTTCTGCAGGTGGTGTTGACCATCTTTCAGCTCGTGTGGTGCAGGGACATGGACAGCTGCCTAGAGGGATGTAGATGAGATGTAGATGAGTTTTCTTCATCAGAACAGATTTGGAGAAGTGTAGCATTGCATCACTTGCTCACCAAAGGATCCTCTGCAGTGAATGGGTGCCGTCAGAATGAGAGTCTGAAACTGCTGTCCAGCTGTATCAGAATAAACCTGTCTGTGACCAGGCATTTCAGAACTACTGTAATACATAATGTAAATGCCAATGATTTACCTGTTATGTCTGATAGTTCCAGGGGTTATGGTGTGTGTGTGTGTTTGTAGGTGGACTCCAGTGATCATTTTGAGTGGCAGAGGTAGTTGCGATATTATTGGGATGTGGACCTGGATGACTGTGGCTCGGATGACTCTCTCACATTATGTTTATGGATATGAATATTTGGGAGCATGTCCTCGTTTGGTGCTCACTCCACTGACGGTATATAAATGCGCTTTTTTATGATTTGCTATGTATTTAATACATACATATGCTGTAAAACATACAAACATTTGTCCAATTATATAAAATACATTTGAATTGAATTGAACAATGATGGCTTTTACTTTATATAAATTATAAAGTTTGCTATAAAGTAAAAATAAGTTTACTCTATAAAAATTTATTTTATAAAATAAAATCAACATTAAAATCATCTGTAAATAATGTACAATATATATTATTTAAAAAATGATAAAGCTCTGATAGAATTTTAATTTTAAATTCATGGCCGATTTTGATTGAAATTGATTAAGCAATTTACTGCAGGGGCCTTTTTGCCCCACATTTTAAATATCCTGGGCTTTTTGGGTGACATTTTTGCCTTGGTTGAGTTCTGATCCTGCCTCTGACCCAAACCTGCTAAACTTTGTCAAACATCAGATTGCATGTCACGCATAAGAAATAACAGTTTATCCACTCATACTAAAGTGTGTGTAACAAATAAATTTACAATTTATGCATGGATCTATGTGAATGTTGTGTGTAAGAGTTATTAAAGAGCATGATTGTGCTAATCAGGTGTGTGTGAACTGCCTGTTTGTTTGCTTTTTTATGGATTTGGGAGGAGCTCCTGCAGGTCCAGCAGGAATAGGCTAAACTGAGACCACTATAGACCTTGCGAAAGCTTTGGCAATCCAGTGTGTGGTCTTTAACTGTTCAGATGGACTCGACTATAAGGTACAAATCTGTCTCTCTTGCCAGTTCAACTTCTGTTTTCTTTTTTCCTCATTATTGTTTTAAGCATCTAGACAACCAATATGAGACTTGTGTTTTCCTGTAATATTAGAGTGCTCACCAAAGGATCCTCTGCAGTGAATGGGTGCCGTCAGAATGAGAGTCTGAAACTGCTGTCCAGCTGTATCAGAATAAACCTGTCTGTGACCAGGCATTTCAGAACTACTGTAATACATAATGTAAATGCCAATGATTTACCTGTTATGTCTGATAGTTCCAGGGGTTATGGTGTGTGTGTGTGTTTGTAGGTGGACTCCAGTGAGAGTTTTGAGTGGCAGAGGTAGTTGCGATATTATTGGGATGTGGACCTGGATGACTGTGGCTCGGATGGCTCTCTCACATTATGTTTATGGATATGAATATTTGGGAGCATGTCCTCGTTTGGTGCTCACTCCACTGACGGTATATAAATGCGCTTTTTTATGATTTGCTATGTATTTAATACATACATATGCTGTAAAACATACAAACATTTGTCCAATTATATAAAATACATTTGAATTGAATTGAACAATGATGGCTTTTACTTTATATAAATTATAA